TACTTGACACAATCCACTTACAAATTGTGTTGTATTATTTTCGGAAACTATCTTCTTACATTCTCAACTTTGAGTTTAATATTGCATCATAATTGATGAATGTTTGCAAATATTATTAGTCTCTCAGAGTCGTGTAAATAATATGGGAGAGTTAAGTGTAGGCCACGTATTATGTCTGTGAGTGTCCATGTATGTAAACAAGATAACTCGAAATCGGAATTAACTGTGGAAACGAAATTGAGTTATATCTGTTTACCGAAAGTGGTATTTTAATTGAACACATATATAATCTATCATGTCTTTTTCAAAAGAGAAAGTGAGATGATGTTGTCGGGGCAACACCTGTCGTTGGTCCGCGCGTGCTCAGCAGAGTTAAACGTTGAGAAAATCTACGTAAATTAAACTTAGAATAAATAAAACATACAATATGGCATACAACGGGTTACTGGTATGCCCCAGTCTATTTATTAGATGAAACAAAAGAAAATTGAACAAATATTTACATAAAATACTAACAATTAAACATGAGACATTAATTTAAGCACTTTTTACGCACATCTTTTCTATGGTCCTTACAAACAGGTTGATAATAATTAGCACAAAATGTTTATGCTTTTCGATCCTTAGATCTTGAACATTATGCAATGTGCTTGTTTTGTTAATTTTATGGTAAATCCTCTTCTTGGGTTTGACTTTCTTCTTCCAAGCTTAATATATCATTAATAATTCGTTTTAGACTATGGGCAACGTTTTTAAAGTATGTTCATCATGTGTGGATTAGTGAACTGTAAACCAAATTCATATGGAAACAATTGAGTACCTGTAAAATATCCAGACATCTACTCCATCTCGATGAGACATTTCGTACCAGTAACTTAAAGGCCATCGTCTAGTTTTTCCACTCACGGAATAATTATGTACCAACTGGTCAAAAGTTGGTACATAATTACCAAAAACTTTGCTTTTTTCGGTCTAAAAGAAACCGACGCCAAATTTCCATCAAAAGCAAATTGTGATGACCACAATTCTTTGTTTCTACTTGGCAGGAAGCTAGAAGGAGTATCCTTTTTGTTGTGCTTCAATGTTCCTACAATTGTTAACTTATAATTCGATAACATCAAAGTTGCCAAAGGTACTGATGTGAACCAATTATCCATGGTGACGTTACGATATCTACTATGAATTGGTGTTGTCAGTCTAACATATGTTATGTACTGTATTGAACATATAAGATTATTCATCAACCTTAACATATTTACGTGGAGTGTAGCTGTCTAATATATTCCAAAGCTTGTGTATTGGTTCAAATTTGCCTGTTTGATCTCGATTAGTTTTATCATCAAGTCGCATCAAATATATTAAATGTTTAAATTCTGGCTTGCTCACAATGCTTTAGTAAACAGATGAGACTAGTTTAGAACATATTTTTAATGTAGAAAGATGAGAAATTTTCTTGATGTATAAAGTAACTAAATCAGAGCAATCAAAGTATCTGTTCAACTACATTGACGTTCAATTTCCATATTTGTAAATATAACAATATCATTTATCATAGTATATCATACTCTCATAAAACTGAAAACCGTTACCGTAAATTGTAGTTAAATAAGTAATCGGTATGGCAGTATAATACGATCTGTTGTAACTTACCTGTGACTTTATGGTTTTTATTTCTTTGTCTAAATAATTAATTTGTTTCCCCATGTCATTAAATTCTACAAGTTCAATTACATTATCCTAGAGTGTCTGATTCCGGGAGCAAATTGATATCAAGTTTTTTGTTTTTACGTATTAATTAGTTATAACTTTGCTCTCAATTCACACATCTCAAATTCGTAGTTCAATTAAATGTTCATCTACATCTCGTGATGGTACACCACTATACATTTCTATTTCAAAATATGTCTTGCTTCGACCTACACACTTATAGCAGAAACTCTTTGATCACTGTTTGGATCAAAATTGCTCCTGAAAGCTATGAGAAGAGATCCACATAGAGATGAAGAGACGCCCTCTGATTTTTGTAAGTTTACGATAATTTGACATAAACCGAAAATTAATCCCTTTGTTTTTTTTAATTTACAGTACATATCGCAAATTTCGAAATTCACATCATTCTCACAATGATGTTACAACGCCTTAGTCAGTGGTAGAGGATGAATCCCTGATGGAATAAAATGCACCCCTTTGATTCTTAGTTAGATATTACAATATTTCGGGTGGTGGTTGAATACGGAAGGGGAAATCCCGGTGGGACACGAGTCCATTCCGATTAACGTAAGTTCAAAATAACTTAATCTAAAGTGAGGATACTTCAATACTTGTAAGTGGTATACCTGGAAGTGATAACATCTGCACCATGACGTGTTTTATGATTAATTCATCATACTCGTCTTTATCTGGCTTAAACAACTTAAAACCGATATCCCTAATCCTCTCTATTAGAAAAGAACCATTGGAACTGTTATAATTCATTTTACAGTCATAATTTACTGGGTGTACTTTCTAAGGGTTCTGTAACCAGTTATTCAGATGAAACCACAGCATTGAGTAATAACAAAGACCTTGGTCATTGTGTTGCTTTAAGTGATCCTATGTGTGGGGATGATGAATGGACAGTGACAGTGATGTTTATCCTAAATGATAACTTCACTAGTGCAAATACGATAACAATAACTTTTTTAACAGTGTATCTTGTCTCCAAACTGAAGTACAGTAAGAAGCAGTGTCTTTAAGATCGTATTATTTTATGCAGTATAAACGAATTTTTAATTTCACTAATTAGATATCATCAATTTTACTCTGGTTTCGGTAACACTTTCTTTGTATCATGAGAAACCTTGGGAAATGCTTTACTGTTAAGCAGAGTCTTTACTTCTAATAATGTTCAAATTTAATTACTGTATTTGTGAAGTATTCTTAGGATTGACAAGGAAAGTATATTTTTCCAAGGACTTCTTTACGTGTCTTTAATTCTGAGTGTACAACTATTTCAGTTTGACAAGCAAAGTATTTAGTGGGTATGCGAAGTTCCAATGATAATAACATAAGACCTAGACAAATTAGATACCCAATAGAGCTTGACATCATCTGTTTTCCTGTATTTCTCAATACCAGATTTGTTCTTCATTACAATGTCATGAAGTACCCTTCTTCTACGCTGTATGCAACTAATTCAAAGTATAATTTTTATGCGTTATGGCAACAATCAAAGTTGTCTCTAAGTGCGGCTACACCTCGCTGCCACATTTATCTAACAACTTGAAACAACCTTTCCAATAACAAGTACCGAATTTTACATAGTGTTAAAACTTCAACAATTATGTTACATTTTAGTCCTTGATAAATAAATTTTACAGATTATCAAATTTTGCTTTCAGGTGATTAGTTTTCAAGGTTCGTTATACAAACAATACATGTATTATTTGTTGTAACGAGATTGTGTTAAATACTGTTGTTTAGAAAACGAAATATGAAATTGAAACTTATTTACGATGTATTATGACTAACATAAAATTAAAATTAAACATTAGATGTTTTAAAAGTTTTTAATTTTCCATCCTTGTTATATTCTTTAAAATTATTCCAGATGCGTTCAAAAACTTTCTTTGAATCAATTGCACAAAGCACATATTTTACGACATATATATAAAAGTTTCTAACAGATTGAAATAAATACATAAGAAAATTGATAGCAACAACACTTTTTATGACAACCTCCAAAACTGCGAATATGGTATTTGGAGGGAAAGTGAAAACCGTTTTATGCACTATAAATATACTCAGGAATACTGCCATATAACTTTGAAAAGTTCGTAATATCGCTGTCGGTGGTGCCATCTCTACTATAATCGCCACACTTTTTCATTCGTAGCATCACCAGATATTCTAGCTAACTTACAGTTTGCATTTTAAGTTATTTTTAATATTTTAAATACTTTACAATTTGATTTTGAAAGTAATAAATTTAAAAATCTCATAGCCGTTGAAAAGATTTACTATGTATACAATATTCTAGTTTGTAGTTGATTATTCAAACATCTGCTTAGTTTTACTATATCTAATAAGAATATGGGTATAAAAACAATTAATTAGTTTTAAAAACATCTGTCTAAATACTTGTACTAGAACATATGTACCCACATCACCTACATATAACAGTTGCAACAAACTAGTTATAATTGCTATTTAATCCTTTCCTGGTTTCCTGTTTTAATTGATCATCAAAATTGGTTTTATTCAAACCATTTTGATACCAAAGGATTTTTTTTGTCGTTTTAAACTAAGGTATATTTTACAACAAACGATCCCTTTGTTTTGCATTAAAATCGTGTGGTTTCGAAAACGCAACATTCCTATGTAAATATCGTTAAGGCGGGGGTCTGGTTTCGACAAAAAGTTGCGGGGTAGAAGCAAGGAACAACGCGGTGTCCCCACAGATGGGCGCGTCTCTCAGGAGAAGTGTTTAATATCGGCGCTCGCCATTCCGATCACGACACCGGGACCCCGGACCATAATAGGAATAAATAACAGAAACCGTCTGCGGAATTAACGAAATTTATGGCGAGCCTCAAAGTCTGAAGTGACTTTGACGAACGGGAACCGATTCCAATTCGAAAAGAGAGGTGCTGGGCGAAGAGTTGTTGTGAGAAGTTCCTTTTCTCTATATGTCTCTGTCTTTTGGAATACAAAAATTTAAGAACAAAAAAATGTTTCGTTGTTTTTATCGCGTTACACAGACGAGATTATTGCAAATTAAAATGTGCCCTTGGTGTAATAATAATTATCATTAAATCAACACAGAAAAATAAATATTTTAATTTTTTTTTAGATTGTTAATTCTATTTTGAATTGTGACAATGTTTGGAAACTCAAATCCTTCTTTTGTGTCGAAATTTTTAGCAGCCCACGCAGTATTTTCGTAGTATACTTAAATAAACAAAATTATGTGAAATTAAATCTTATCACATTTCGCTAATTAAATCTGCAACAAACTTGAACCAGTTAAATACGTTTTCTCACATTGATATATTCATGAAATAATATTAAAGAAAATTGAAAAATGAATAGTACAGAAACGATTCAAGAAATTTTGGGTGTTAAATTTTCTTGGCACGATTATTCTTTTTTTACATTGATGTTAATTGCCAGTGCTATTATTGGGGTTTATTATGGATTTTTTAAGAAGCAGCGAACTGCGCAAGATTATTTATTAGGTGGTAAATCAATGGGTATTATACCTGTTGCTTTGTCGTTAACAGCAAAGTAAGTAGACTATTAACTATAGTAGGTCTCAGAAATTTCATATTATAAGGTATTTTTTTTATGTTTAATGAGTAAGTTAACGTGAAAATTTAAAAATAATTGAAAGAAACTTGTTTTTTTGCTCTAACATTTATTAAGCCAGAAAATCTAAAATTTAGGTAAAAATATGTCAATATGATTATTAGTTAGAAGTGCTCAGAAAATTTGAGAATGATTATGGAAAAACGTATTGCCAAAGACCAAAAATGTTAGGAAGAATACCAAATCCTGGCCTAACAAGACCAATCAACAGAAATAGGATTCTTTTGTCCAATAACTTTATGATGAAATTTCTAAGTTTATTTCTTATCCTTTGGTAACAGTGGCTGTTCCTGACAATTATTCTAATCTTGCAGATATTTATTATATGTTCTGAGTGTAAGCATTTGTAGGAGCTGATTGCTTGGTTTTTGCCAATGGATATCACATTCGTGTATTTTTATTCAACATTCGTAATGATCCGACGTTGACAGAGTGATAATAAGTTAGTAATTATAATTAATAATTAGTGTAGCATTTCTTTTGAATTCTATCAATTTTGCTGTTATAAATTTGATGTTTTAGGATTACAAATGATGCAACCAAAATTTTGGGTGAACGTGTGATAAATATGGAGTTAAAAATTCTTCTGTTAATCTAAAAACTAATACAAGCATGCGCTTCAGTCTGGAAACTATCTCGCAAATGTGTCTCTCAAACGTAAGTCTTTGGCCGCGACTGTTACCAGACATTCTATACATCAAGCATATAATCGTATTATGAGGAATTCTTAAAAAAAAATAACAATGGATTTATTAAGACTGAGTGAGTCAATCTTTGAATGTAGCCAATATTTGCTTCCATTAGTTTCTGATTTTTCCTTTTATTCAACGGATGATGATTTTCACGTTTGATCCCGTCTTTTCTTCTTTTTTTCTTATCACCTTGTTTATCGATATTGTAAAAAAAATCTTAAGATCAATCAACAACCTGGCGGAACTATCCTTGTCTCTTTTGACATTACTCTTTACTTGCATGTATTTGTATCTCAAAAATGCTTGCCAGAGGCACATTGCAATACCTTATGCGTTTGTTTCTCTTGATTTCGCGCCACCTTGTATAGGTTGCAATCGTCTTCTATGACTTTGCCCTCCAGTTTGCATCTTTGAAGCTCTTTAGATGGTAGAAATGTTTTGTTTTTTCTGTGGAAATCCTCATATTGAATTTTTTTAATGTTTCGCAAGATTTATGGAGCATTATAGGTAATTAATTTAAAGAGAAATGGGCTCAGTTTGATAGGTTTGTTTGATACTGAATTAGGTTGACGAAACTCATGTCCGCCGGATAATTGAATTCTATAAATTTTTCTATCATCTGTCATGTTAAGAAGATCGCGTCTACTGTACTTCTTCCATCGGAATCCCTGTTGTTCGTCTAAAATTTCTATCGTTGCCTGAAGGTTTTGGTGTATGATATTAGTTAACAGTTTCAGTGTGGTGTTCAATAAGGTTATGCTTCTAGAGTTTTCTGGCGTCTTCTTATCTCTCTTTTGGAATATTGGGATCGTTCTGTGTATCTTCCACTCGTGTGGTATCCTACATGTTAGTATTGATTTCTGAAAGAGTTTCTCCATTTGTCTCTTGCAGTTTTTGCCTCTGCATTTATGTAATTCGGCTTGTATGCCGTAGAGTTCTGGGTTTCTTCTATTTTTTCATTAGCGTGGGCTTCTCTGGTTATAGTATCCTAATATTATATTTATGGTCTTGCGTTTGTGTGGACGTCTGAGTCTCTGCATATACTCTTGCAATGTGTTTTTACGTATCTCTTTTCTGGTTTTGAATCATCTTCCAAACTTTCTTCTTCACCCCAGAGTGTCTTTATTAAAGAAACTGTCTTTCTTTAATTTTTTTATTTCGCCATTCACTTTGTTTCATTTCTTCTTGTTCAGTTCGTTAACTTCCAAATTCCAAATGTATGATTTTTTGATCTTTATTGTTAGTTTATTTCTATACCTTTTTTGAATAAGTTATGTTAACTTCGTCACAGGTATTGTATATTTAAAATTAGAACTTAAAACCCTTTGTAAACTCTAACTAAGGCTATATCACAGTTTTAAAAGCTTTAACACGTTGCCTTTGACATCTTAGAACATAACACCTTTTGCAAACTCTAACGATGGTTATATCACAGTGATGAATTTGATACTTTGATTTTATCCGTATGTTATTTGGAATTGATTATTTTTGTTCTTTACCTACAGTTTGATTTTTTTTGCGGACAAGCTTATTGATCTTGCCACGAAAACACTATAAGCTGTGTACTCATCGGTTTTACGAAGCCAGATCGATGCAAAAATTTCTGACAAAGATTTTACAATGCTCAGATTTCTATTTAACGTATTTTTTTATAATATTAACGTCAGCTAGACGTTATTGAATAACTGAATACATCCAAATAGATAACTGTTCTATAAGTCCTAGAAATCACTGAAAGTATTTTATGACAAAATTTTTTTTACGTTAACTTTACCTTAAAATCAAAAATTATTACATTTTTTTTCAGTAACGTCTCTGGAGTAACCCTTCTTGCCGTTCCATCCGATGTCTACATGCATGGTATTTCTTATTGGTTTACCTACGTATCTCTGGTAATCGTAATTTTCGTCTCGTATAAAGTATTCGTCCCAGTTTTTGCGAATTTAAAAACACCCAGCTCGTTTGAGTATTTAAAAAGAAGATACGATACTAAAACTAGAATGTTGGGTTCGATGTTATATCTGATAAGTGCCATTTTGTATTTACCAGTTGTAATGTACATGCCATCTTTAGCTTTATCACAAGGTAAAAGTATCCAAAAGTTTAAGTCAAATAATTTCAAAGTTATTCTTTTAGCAACTGGAATGAATATCCATTTAATAAACATTTTAGTTTGTACAGTTTGTATATTTTATACAAGCGTTGGAGGTTTAAAAGCTGTGGTATATTCAGATGCTTTACAAACGGTTATTATGATTGGAGCTTTAGTGATTGCTTTTATACTGGGTGTTGTTAGATGTGGAGGGTTTGAAAATGTTTGGAATACGTCTTACGAGCACAATAGATTAAAATTAAAATTTGATATCGATTTTACGTTAAGAAACGCTTTTTGGGCTGTCACGTTCGGCCAATTTATGACATGGTTAAGCTTTTTAGGAGTTTCTCAAGTTTACATTCAAAAGTGTCTAGCAATACCTTCAGAAAAAGACGTAATCAAAGTTCTAACAATTTTTGCACTTGGAATATTTGTGATTGGGTCATTATGTAATTTCACAGGATTAATTATGTTTACCGAATATTCAAATTGTGATCCGGTCAAATCCGGAATTTTAGAGAAACAAGATCAATTGCTTCCATATTACATCTTGGATATTTCAAAACAACTTCCAGGATTAGCAGGATTATTTATAGCAGGAATTTTTGGGGCGGCTTTAAGCACATTAGCTGGAATGTTAAATAGCTTATCGTGTACGATTTTCGAAGATTTTATTTCGAAATATATTCCAAAAAATACGACTCAATTAACGATAAGTCGAATACTGAAGTTGATCGTTTTAATTATTGGAATTGTAGCAACCGGATTGGTTTTTGTTGTTGAAAAGTTGGGCGGAATGTTAGCTTTATCTTTAAGCTTATCTGGAATAACAGCTGGACCTATTTTGGCGCTTTTTGTTGGAGGAATGTTAATTCCAAAAATGAATGAAAAGGTAAAATCTAAAAAAATAAAATATGTTTATGGTGTCCCTGAATTATTTTAAATTTTGATTTGAAATTATGCAAAATCTTGGATGTCCCAATTCTACTTCCTATCTGATGTTTATATTAATCAAATCTGCTTAAACCAAATAGATATGTTCTTAACGTAATTTAATAAACATTATTAAAACTTCTTATTTAGAAAAAATATATTCAAGCAAAAGTAAGTGGAAAATAAACAAATTAAACACAATTAGTATTCAATAACATTTTTTAAAACATCCATCAAATAAAATGTAAAAAACACAATTTCTTTTGAGTACTTTTATTGAATAACTCGGGGACACTACAAACAATGATTTTAATTCTAATTTTATTACAGGGAGCTTATTATGGTTCCGTTACATCATTAATTCTAATGACAATCATTGTATTTGGATCACAATATTACCAAAATAGTGGTTATTTAACAACTGTACCATTACCAACTTCAATCGAGGGATGTACGTTTTTGAATTCAACAATAACCCAAAATTATGATTTTAAAATAGACGGAAATTCGACGTCGCATACAATAAACGAAGTTCCTTACATTTTTCGGGTACCTTTTTATTGGTATTGCACAATAGGATTTGTTTTCGCTATTTCACTTGGTTTATTAATCAGCCATTTTAGTAAATCTAAAAAAAATATTGATAAAGAACTATTTAGTCCGGTTATTTATCGTTTTCTTTCTAGAAATAGTGACGAAACTATTTACGTTTCTGAAAAGTTAATGGAGTCTAAATAATTAAAAAATATTTATTTCACAACTAATTCGTTTTTTATTTTTTTTTTAAATCTTTTCCTAAACAAGATTTAATATATTTGCTATTTCATTACATGACGTCTTGGTCGTATTTACATATTTACTCTAACGACGAGCAAAATGACTTAAGAAACGGTTTTAAAATTGTTAATCATATAATAAACTAATTCGTAAGATTGTAATCGAGAATAAAATACTGTTTATTTTTGGGTATTGTATAAAAGCTTAGTTTTATTAAATTATTTTTAAAATGTTTCTGCGATTACCATGGAGAACTCAACATTAACTTTACAAGATATCTTAGGAATTAAATTTACATGGTACGACTATTCATTTTTCTTATTGATGCTACTTGCAAGTGCGATAATAGGTGTTTATTATGGATTTTATAAAAAACAACAAACCGCTGAGGATTATTTATTCGGTGGAAAATCTTTGGGTATTATTCCAATGGCTTTATCATTAACAGCAAAGTAAGTTAATCATTTCTATTTTAATTTAAATTATTAAAATGTTTTTTTAGTAATATTTCGGGAATAGCTTTATTAGCTGTTCCATCAGACGTTTACAAGCATGGAATATCATTTTGGTTTACTTACGTAAGTTTAATCTTCGTAATATTCGCTTCCTATAAAATTTTCGTGCCCGTATTTGCTAAATTAAAAACAACGAGCACATTTGAATATTTAAAACTAAGATATGATACAAAAACTCGATTATTGGGTTCAATCCTTTATCTTGGACACATCATTTTAGTTTTACCCATCGTTATTTATATTCCAGCTTTAGCTTTAGTTCAAGGTAATTTCACCATATTATTTAATCATTAATAACGTTTTTTTTTTGTTCAAGCGACCGGCATCAATTTACATTTAATCAACATATTATTATGTGCAGTTTGCATTTTTTACACAAGTATTGGTGGATTAAAAGCTGTTGTGTATTCAGATGCGCTTCAATCGATTGTTATGATAGGCGCTTTAGCTATTGCTTTTACTTTGGGTGTTATTAGATGTGGTGGAATTGAAAATATATGGAATACCTCGTATGAAAACGAACGATTAACGTTGGTGTTTGATTTAGATTTTACTAAAAGAAATGGATTTTGGGCAGTTTTAATCGGCCAATTTATCGCTTGGATGAGTTTTATGGGTATTAATCAAACGTATATTCAGAAGTGTTTAGCTTTACCGTCACAAAAAGATATTACAAAAGTTTTGATTATGTTCGCAATAGGATTATTTATAATTGGTTCATTATGTAATTTTACTGGATTGATTATGTTTACCGAATATTCAACTTGTGATCCATTAGAAGCGGGAATTTTACAAAAACAAGATCAATTACTTCCATATTACATCATGGACATTGCAAAACAACTTCCCGGATTAGCTGGATTTTTCATTGCAGGAGTTTTTAGTGCGGCTTTAAGTACAATGTCTGGAATGCTTAACAGTTTATCTTGTACAATTTTTGAAGATTTTATTTCTCATCGATTACCAAAAAACACTTCGCAACGAAAAATTAGCACAATTCTAAAACTAATTGTTGTTATAATTGGAGTTATCAGCACGATTAATGTTTTCATTGTTGAAAAGCTCGGGGGGATGTTAGCTTTGGCGAATAGCCTGTCTGGAATTACAGCCGGTCCGATTTTAGCACTTTTCGCTGGTGGGATGCTTATACCAAAAATAAATTCGAAAGTAAGATTTATTATGCAAATTTTATTTTAATTAATAAATTGATTTTTTGCAGGGTGCTTTTTGTGGTACTTTAATATCTGTATGTTCAATGGCAATTGTTGTTCTTGGTTCTCAATGGTACCAAATTAATGGTTATATAACAACACCACCTCTTCCGGTTTCAATTGAGGGATGTCCTTTGAATGGAACATTTACAACAAAAACAAATATAAATATAACGTAAGTCCATTAATTAATGATGTCTTAAAAGTAGTGTGCTAAATGAAAATGAATTAACCCTATGATGCATAAACCGGACCTCTCAGGCCCGGCGAGCATTTAGTTACTATAGTTATTTTATTGGTTAAGTATCCTAGGGTTAAAAAAATGACAATTTATAAAATATTGTATAAAATTATGATATAAATTTGATAAGGATATTTCAAAATTGATTATTCTATCAAGGAATCATGCAGAATGTTTTTCAATGTCTGAATAAGTTGCATATCTCAAAATCTCTAAGCTGTTGTAATTATTCAAGCATGAAATAACATGATGCATGAAATTTAGATTTTTCCATAAGATTCCAAAAGAGGACTCTTCCAACTTGGTTCGTTTCTTTTACATTTACGTAAAAGTTAAATATTTTTAAATAAAAGTTATGCAGATTTCTTAGTCATTAAAGCTAGAGCTTTTCTTCTAAAGCAATACAGCGTCTGCCGATAAGCAGGGAGTGTGCCAGAGGGTCTTCTTAAACTGTCTATACTAGCCCAAAAGTGCTATCGGCAAATGTGGGAGTCTGGATAGGTAGAGAGCAAGTTAGAAGTCGTATTCGAATTTTTTAAGATAGTTTTAGGATGTTACAGTTTTCTATACTTGAGAAAAATAATAACGATATATATTCAAAAATTCACCCCTTCTCTCCTAGAACAGGTGTAGGGATGTCGATAGGCAGGAAAAGTGGTAGAGTTCCTCTTCGAACTATGTAGAGNTTAGTTTTGTTTTAGTTTTCTTATTTGATTTTGATGCTACTGTAATTAATAAGTGATTAAGATATGATTTGTTAAAATACTTAAAATACTTACTACGCCATTAGCGTTTATCTTTTAACTTTTATGGTGTTCAATTATGTAACATTCGAAATGGAAATCTCCTACTTTCACTATGATGCTTAAACAAGATAGTTATAACTTATTTACTGAATATATTAGAATAATTTTTCAATACATTTTAGCATACTACTTTTGAAGCACCCTCCATAAATATTATTATTAATATTTTAAATTTATTTTAGGTTATCTGCTCCTTCAAGCCAAGTACCATATATTTTTAAAGTACCATTTTATTGGTACAGTAGTATGGGATTGATTATAAGCTTAGTATTTGGTATCATAATAAGTCAATTTGTTAAAGATAAAAAATCGAAAATACTTTATAAGGATTTATTTAGTCCTGTTATTCATCGATTTTTAACAACAAAAGATGAAGAGAGTTCTAAGGACGTTACTGAAACGTTGATGGTAAACAAGTTTAACGAAGAAAGTAATACAGAAATGTTTGTTAATGAGAATAAATAAATAAAGTTAAAAACACAATAAAACTATTTTCTTTCATTTTCTAAAAATTCCAAAGTTTGATTATGATATAGATTATACACAATGATTTTTCATCTCTATTTCGTGTTTCTTAGGAATAAATGGAAATATAACTGGACTTAGTAATTCTCTTGGAACTTCTTTGTTATAATTTCTTGTAAAAATTAATGATTAATGCAAACATTATGCATAAAATTAAACCCATAAGTCCATATCTACCAATAAAATTGAAGTCGAAATATGCAAGGAATATCTGTGTGAGACGTTCTAAAAAGATTTTTTTTTAAACCTTAAAACATGATAAAATTTGGTTATATTTTTTAAATTTGAAGGACATCCTTCAATTGAAACAGGTAAAGGTAAATCACTTAAATAATCACTATTTTGATAAAATTGTGATCCAAAAACCACAAAAGCCATGATTGACATAGAAGCAATACACAAAAAGCACCCTAAGAAATTAAAGAATGAAATATTGTTTTCAATCTTAAAAAAACATACTTCAGCGTTTATTTTTGGAATTAACATTCCAGCAACAAAAAGTCCTAAAATCAATCCTGAAGTAACTCCTTCCATGCTATTCGTTAAAGCTAATAACCCACCAAGTTTTTCAACAACCAATACTAAAAAAGTACAAATTAACCCAGTTATAACAATGATAGGTTTAAGAATTGCACTAATTTTTCGTTGAGACGTATGTTTTGAGATGTACTTCGATAAAAAGTCTTCGTAAATTGTGCATGATAATCAATTCAAAGACGCCGATAAAGCGCTTAAAGCAGCACTAAAAATCCCTGCCACAAATAATCCGGCTAATCCAGGAAGTTGTTTCGATAAATCCATAGTGTAGTAAGGTAATAATTGATCTGGTTTATTTAAAATTTCTGCTTCAACAGGGTCACAATTTTCATACTCAGTAAACATAACTAATCCCATAAAATTAGTTAAAGATCCAATTGAGGTCAAACCAAACGAGAATATACATAAAACTTTTATTACATCCGATTTTGTTGGTAAAGCATCAAATTTATAATTTAATTAATTTAATTAATTAATTAAATTTTTGGATTAATAATTAATTAATTAAATTTTTTGATTAATAATTAATAATTTAATTAATCAAATCTACTCAAACCAAATAGATTTGTTCTTAATGTAATTTAATAAACATCATTACAACTTCTTATTTAGACAAAAATATTCAAGCATAAATAAGTGGTCATACTATGCCATGTAGATGATGCGATGCTTGTGCCGGAGAACGAGGATGATTTTTAGAGGTTAGTGTACAGTTTAAAAAAACAGCCAAAAAATTTAACATGATATCAGCAGCAAAAATTAAATTTATTACTACTACCAAGACACCAGATTCTAAAACCAATAAATGATGATAAAATCACACAAAAGGAAATGAAATTTAAATTCCTGGCCATCGAAATATTTGGAAACGGAGATGTTGACACGGAAGTAAGAAATCAAGCTATGGCAGTGTTAAAGGCAGCAAATAAATATATTAGAACTGAAGCCAAAGTCCAGATCTACAAGACTGCAATCTACCAGCTCGAGAAAACAAAAAGAATACTAGACACTAGAGAAATAAAAATAGTGCGTAAAAGAGCTCCAAAAGCACGAGTGGTTAGAAAAAGAAGTGTAAATATTAGACAAACATACGGAATAGATATCAGCAATGACTGGGTATAAACAAAAAGGAAAAATAGAATGAAGACATCAATCGCATGACAGAAGAACGAATTGCGGGAATAACGAGTGTCAAATTACCATCAGGACGGAAAAAGATGGAGCTTCAACTTTCCAAATGACTAAATACGGGCAAACAAAAAATGTGAAGAAAAACAGGCAATTATGCCTATATACAGAAGGAAGAAGAAATTTTGTACACTCTCATCTTCCACTTTGTTCATCTTCTTTCCTACTTCTTTGTACTTTCTTCCTCCACCTCTAAATTGGTGGTGATAATTTCGGATAATATTGGATTGTTATTTCTAAAACAACTTGTTTTTCCGTATTATCATCCGTCTCTAAAGGCTGATCCATGAATTTTTAAGTTTGAAGTCTGAAATTTTAAAAGATTGCAATATATGTTGACCAGTTTGGGATTGATATTGTATTAACTTAATCAACTGATATCATCTATTAATTTATTAACTTAGAAGAGGTCGCTTGCGGCCGTTGCTCTGCAATATATGATGTTCAGTTTTAGGTTTATGCTGTATTAATTGCTACGCCTCCGCCATAAGCGATCTTGGTTTAATCAGCCGAAATCATCTATCATTTTTCGAGGTTGCTTGTAACCGCGGTTTCACAATGTATGATGTTCAGTTTTTATTTGCAACTCCTCGGCCGCAGGCTCTTGGGGCTTAATAAGCCGAAATTAATTTATTGTTTCGATTGGGTCTTCACTATATGATGACCAGTTTTTGGTTGACGTGGCATTAATTTGATCAGTCGATTATTGATCCATTAACTTAGCTGAGACCGTTTGCAGCTGAGGTGCTATAATATACCATGCTCAGTTTTACGTTTATGTTGTATTACTTGATACTTAAACAACAACAGTTGAAATGAGCTACTCCGATTTAACTATAATTACAATTAAATTTTGAATTTTTAAATTAATTTTATCAAAATTGTATTGAAAATTACCAACCCATCAAATAATATGTAAAGAACAAAATTTATTATGAGTACTTTCATCGAATAACTCGGGGCTACTAGACACAACATACAACGATTTTAATTCCAATTTTATTACAGGGAGCTTATTATGGTTCCATTATATCATTAATTCTAATGGCAATCATTGTATTTGGATCACAATATTATCAAAATAATGGTTATTTAACATCTGTACCTTTACCAACTTCAATTGAGGGATGTTCGTTTTTGTATTCAACAATATCCCAAAATTGTGATTTTAAAATAGATGGAAATTCGACATCACATACAATAAACGATGTTCCTTACATTTTTCGAGTACCTTTTTATTGGTATTGCACAATAGGATTTATTTTCGCTACTTCAAATTGGTTTATTAATAAACCATTTTAGTAAATCTAAAAAAAATATCGATAAAGAACTATTCAGTCCGGTTATTTATCGTTTTCTTTCTAGAAATAGCGACGAAACTATTTACGTTTCTGAAAGGTTAATGGATCTAAATAAATAATTAAAAAATATTTATTTCACAACTATCTCTTTTCTTTTAATTTTTTCGTTCTTTTAATTTTTCCTAAATAAGATTTAATATATTTGCTATTTCATTACATGACGTCTTAGTCGTATCTACATATTTACACTAACGACAAGCAAAATTACTTAAGAAAGTTTTAAAATTGCTAATCATACATATAATAAACTAATCAAGATTATAAGATTATAATCGACAATAAAATGATGTAGAAATAGTTTTGTTGTTAAAGAGATTAAAAATTCTATTCAATTTTGGCTGTTGTATAAAAGATTAGTTTTGTTAAATTATTTTTCAAATATTTCCGCGATTACCATGGAGAACTCAACATTAACTTTACAAGATATCTTAGGAATTAAATTTACATGGTACGATTATTCATTTTTCTTATTGATGCTACTTGCAAGTGCGATAATAGGTGTTTATTATGGATTTTATAAAAAACAACAAACCGCGGAAGATTATTTATTCGGCGGAAAATCTTTGGGAGTTATTCCAATGGCTTTATCATTAACAGCAAAGTAAGTTAACTAATTTTATTTTAGATTATATAATTATTAAAATTTTTTTTAGTAATATTTCAGGAATTGCTTTATTAGCTGTTCCATCAGACGTTTACAAGCATGGAATTTCGTATTGGTTTACTTACGTGAGTTTAATCTTTGTAATATTCGGTTCGTATAAAATTTTCGTTCCTGTATTTGCTAAATTACGAATAACGAGCACATTTGAGTATTTAAAACTCAGATATGACACAAAAACTCGATTATTGGGTTCAATACTTTATCTTGGAAACATCATTTTAATTTTACCCATCGTTATTTATATTCCAGCCTTAGCTTTAGTACAAGGTAATTTCATCACATTATTTAATCATTAATAACGTTTTTTTTATTTAAGCAACCGGCATCAATTTACATTTAATAAACATATTATTATGTGCTGTTTGTATTTTTTACACAAGCATCGGTGGATTAAAAGCTGTTGTGTATTCAGATGCGCTTCAATCGATTGTTATGATAGGTGCTTTAGTTATTGCTTTTACTTTGGGTGTTATTAGATGTGGTGGAATTGAAAATGTATGGAATACCTCGTACGAAAACGAACGATTAACGTTGATGTTCGATTTAGATTTTACTAAAAGAAATGGATTTTGGGCAGTTACAATCGGCCAATTTGTCGCTTGGATGGGTTTTATGGGAGTTAACCAACTGTATATTCAGAAGTGTTTAGCTTTACCGTGTCAAAAAGATGTTATAAAAGTTTTAATTTTGTTCGCAATAGGATTATTTATAATTGGATCATTATGTAATTTTACTGGATTGATTATGTTCACGGAGTATTCAAAATGTGATCCATTAGAAGCTGGAATTTTACAAAAACAAGATCAATTACTTCCATATTACATCATGGACATTTCAAAACAACTTCCCGGATTAGCTGGATTTTTCATTGCAGGAGTTTTTAGTGCGGCTTTAAGTACAATGTCCGGAGTACTTAACAGTTTATCTTGTACAATTTTTGAAGATTTTATTTCTCATCGATTACCAAAAAACACTTCACAAAGAAAAATTAGCACAATTCTAAAATTAATTGTTCTTATAATTGGGGTTATCAGCACAATTAATGTTTTTATTGTTGAAAAGCTTGGGGGGATGTTAGCTTTGGCGAATAGCCTGTCAGGAATTACAACCGGTCCGATTTTAGCACTTTTCGCTGGTGGGATGCTTATACCAAAAATAAATTCGAAAGTAAGTTTTATTATGCAAATTTTATTTAAGTTAATGAATTGATTTTTTGTAGGGTGCTTTTTGTGGTACTTTAATATCTGTATGTACAATGGCAATTGTTGTTCTTGGTTCTCAATGGTATCAAAATAATGGTTATATAACAACACCACCTCTTCCGGTTTCAATTGAAGGATGTCCTTTGAATGGAACATTTACAACAAAAACAAATATAAATATAACGTAAGTCCATAAATTAATAATGTTTTAAAAGTAGTGTGCTAAATGAAAGTGAATTAAAAAAATGACAATATATAAAATATTGTATAAAATTGAGAAATGATTTTTAAGGATATCTCAAGATTTTAATTTCTGATTTGATTTTTTTAATTAATTTTATTTGATTTGTAAGTAACTGGTTTATTCTATCAAGGAATCATGCAGAGACTTTTTCAATATCTGAATAGGTTGAATATCTCAAAATCTCTAAGCTGTTGTAATTATTACAGCATGAAATAACATGAAGCATGAAGTTTAGATCTTGCCCATAGGATTCCAAAAGAGGACTCTTCCAACTTGGTTCGTTTCTTTTACATCCACGTCTAAATATTTCTTTACATTTTTGAGATGATTGTGTATTTTTAAGTAAAGAAAATCTTAATTTAAAAGCAAAGGTTTGGGAAATTTTTGCAAATAAAAATGGGTGTCGCTCCAGAAAAAACGAGTCATGTAATATATGCTGGTGGAACTGGTTTTAAATATATGCAATTCAGAATAAGTGTAATGCGAAGTGTGTACCAAAATATTAACAAGTTTTACAATTATTATCGCGGATTGTCCACCAAATACAAGTAGGTTTCGTTTTGTGTATAATAATTTAATCGGAGAGACAAATTTTGGGGTAGAGCCACAAATTGTAGTTTTTATGGATGGGTGGAAATATAGTTCAAGTAAAAAATATTTATGGTTGGCATGTAACAGGAGAAGCGGAAATTGCTCATACGTTATACGAAGTTATAAATGAAAAAATAATAGTGAAGCCGAAAGAGATTGGTTTTGAACTGCATATTAATTTCACTCTACATATAATAAGGAAAAACTTAGCAAAGAAAATACTATAAATGCAGTGCAACTTTATTTACCTAATTTATTTACTACAAATGTTAAAGCCTCTTATACAACATTCTTCTTCAGCTGGTTATCACATATTATTCAGAAGTTCCTTCAGTCATCTCGTGCAGTACTGTAGAAGGGGAACGTTTTTCACTTTTACAGAGACTTACTTCGATTACGTATCATAGTTTTTCTAAGGATGGATCGGTGACCAAATGTTTCGTTCTTATTTGACTAGTGCGCATTCCTAGTTCTTGAAAATCATATGTCGATCTGCCAGGTTTATCAGTTCTAACTTAAAAATATGTCACTTCATAATCTTGTGTTCTGCACAACACCACACTGAGATTGGTAATCATTGCCATAGTACGAAGATAACTTGGATAACATCTTAAACTTTCGTAGGTTCTTTGGTTCTCTTTAATGTCCCCACACAGTGCCTGCCTTTATCTGAAAACATCGGAGTTTCTCACAAACAAAGAAAATTTTGGAAGTTTCTTTGTAGGAATATTTAAAAATATGAGAGTCTGGATAGGCAGAGAGCAAGTTAGAGGTCGTATTCGAATTTTCTAAGATAGTTTTAGGGTGCTACAGTTTTCTATACTTGAGATAATAAATTGTAAGTTTATTACTAATAACGATGTATATTCAAGAATTCGGCCCTTCTCTGCTACCACAGGTATAGGGATGTCGATAGGCAGGAGAAGTTGTAGAGTTCCTATTCGAATTATCTAGAGTAATCCCAAGTTGTAGCAATCTCTTCTTTTAGAGACACTAAATTGTATTAGTTGCTGAATGAAAAATTTGGGTTTGTGGATAGGACATATTACTAATATCTAGAGAGCTTTCTGAACATTCAAAAAATAGTTATTTAGTGAAGGACCTATTGGGTCAACTATAATTTTTCGATTCTCAATCTGATGCGGGCTCAAATATGAATCTAACCTCACTCCTTTGGTTAATGATGCTCGTATTATTCCTGATAAATGTTTAATATTATTATATTTGTCTGTCAATGAGTGCAAACCAACATGACATTTATTGCGTTTAACGTAAGCATCCCAGAACAACGGATTTTGTTGTTAAATATGAGTAAAATCATCACCTGGTAAATTATGTTAATTTGTGCACTCCATGTGGAAAATCTCAGCGTGTCTAAAAGTAAGTCAACATTAATTGTAATATTTCTAGTGTGAAATGCTGGAATCTTATTAGATCATCCTTCCTTCATTTTCATTTAGTTTTGTTTTAGTTTTCTTATTTGATTTTGATGCTACTGTAATTAATAAGTGATTAAGATATGATTTGTTAAAATACTTAAAATACTTACTACGCCATTAGCGTTTATCTTTTAACTTTTATGGTGTTCAATTATGTAACATTCGAAATGGAAATCTCCTACTTTCACTATGATGCTTAAACAAGATAGTTATAACTTATTTACTGAATATATTAGAATAATTTTTCAATACATTTTAGCATACTACTTTTGAAGCACCCTCCATAAATATTATTATTAATATTTTAAATTTATTTTAGGTTATCTTCTCCTTCAAACCAAGTACCATATATTTTTAAAGTACCATTTTATTGGTACAGTAGTATGGGATTGATTATAAGCTTAGTATTTGGTATCATAATAAGTCAATTTGTTAAAGATAAAAAATCGAAAATACTTTATAAGGATTTATTTAGTCCTGTTATTCATCGATTTTTAACAACAAAAGATGAAGAGAGTTCTAAGGACGTTACTGAAACGTTGATGGTAAACAAGTTTAACGAAGAAAGTAATACAGAAATGTTTGTTAATGAGAATAAATAAATAAACGTAAAAAAAATAAAACTAATTTCTTTCATTTTCTAAAAATTCCAAAGTTTGATCTAAAGATTTATATACGCCATGATTTTTCATTTCTATTTCGCGTTTCTTAGAAATAAATGGAAGTATAACTGGACTTAACAATTCTCTTGGAACTTCTTTGTTATAATTTCTTGTAAAAATACTAATGATTAACGCAAACATTATGCATAAAATTAAACCCATAAGTCCATACCAATAAAATTGAATTCGAAATATGTAAGGAATATCTGCGTGAGACATTCTAAAAAAAATTCTTTTTAATAAATTTTAATTAATAAATTTAACAAAATTACCTTAAAACATCATCAAATTTGGTTACATTTTTTAAATTCGAAGGACAGCCTTCAGTTGAAACAGGTAAAGGTAAATCAATCAAATAACCACTATTTTGATAAAATTGTGATCCAAAAACCACAAAAGCCATGATTGACATAGAAGCAATACATCCATAAAAAGCACCCTATAAAATTAAAGAAACAAATTTTGTATTGAATCTTAAAAAAACTTACTTTAGCGTTTATTTTTGGAATTAACATTCCAGCAACAAAAAGTCCTAAAATCGATCCTGAAGTAACTCCTTCCATACTATTCGTTAAAGCTAATAATCCACCAAGTTTTTCAACAACCAATACTAAAGTAGTACAAATTACCCCAGTAATAACAACGATAATTTTAAGAATTGTGCTAATTTTTTGTTGGGACGTATGTTTCGGGATATACTTCGATAAAAAATCTTCGTAAATTGTGCATGATAATGAATTCAAAGACGCCGATAAAGTGCTTAAAGCAGCACTAAAAATCCCTGCTACAAATAATCCGGCTAATCCAGGAAGTTGTTTCGATAAATCCATAATGTAGTAAGGTAATAATTGATCTGGTTTATTTAAAATTCCTGCTTCAACGGGGTCACAATTTTCATACTCAGTAAACATAACTAATCCCATAAAATTAGTTAAAGATCCGATTAAGATCAAACCAAACGAGAAAATACATAAAACTTTTATTACATCCGATTTTGTTGGTAAAGCCAAACATTTTTGGATATAAATTTGATTTATACCAGTAAAAGCAGTCCATGCAACAAAGGCCCCTATTGTAACAGCCCAAATTGAATCCCGCTTTGTTAAATCTAAATCTGATGATAAATTTAATCTGTCGTTTTCCAAAGAAACCGTCCAAACGTTTCCTAATCCACCGCAACGAATTACTCCTAATGTAAAAGCTATAATTAAAGCACCGATCATAACCGTTGATTGAAGAGCATCTGAGTACACGACAGCTTTTAATCCACCTACGCTTGTATAAAAAATACAAACAACGCAAACTAATATTGTGATTAAATGAATATTTAATCCAGTAGCTACAAAATACATAAATGTGTAAATGCTTAATAAATTATTAAAAAATTACCTTGCGCTAAAGCTAAAGCGGGAATATAAATTACAATCGGTAAATAAAGTAATCTTGAAATTAAAAATAAACCAGACCCTAATAATCTTGTTTTTGTGTCGAATCTTAATTTTAAATATTCAAACGTGCTGTTTTTTCCTAAAGAATAAAACACTGGGACGAAAATCCAATATGAAGTAAAAACAACCACTGAGGCGCTTACATAAGTAATCCAATAAGCTATTCCGTGACTATAAACATCCGGTGGTATTGCTAATAAAGCAATCCCAGAAACATTACTAAAATAATATTTTTGTATTTAAATCATCTATTTGAATAACTTACTTTGCTGTTAGCGATAAGGCCGTCGGAAACACAGTCATTGATTTTCCACCTAATAAATAATCTTTTGCTGTGGTTTGTTTTTTATAAAATCCATAATAAATTCCAATAAATGCACTTATTATTAACATTAAAAGAAAAAAAGAATTATCATACCACGTAAATTTAACACCAAGAATGTGTTCGAATGTTTGTGAAATTGACGAATTTTCGTGCATTTTATTTTTTATTTTTCGTCCGAAACGGTTTTGAAAATAATTTGACCAAAAGTGATGAACTTTTATCACAAACATTTATCATATAGCTTGTTTTAAAATAAAAAGAGAAGAATGAGAATTGTCATAAAACGTATTGTTGCATTTATTTGCTGGATTAAAATTATACAAAAATACTTTACTATTAATATATTTTTTTGTCTGCAACTTTTATTTAACGTGCGACATAAATCAAAAAGATTACACGTAGTTTTACAAAATCAGATAAGAATACAGGACTGGAACAAAACATTGGCTGTTAAACAAATTGTTGTAAAAAAAAACCGCAATAAATTGTAAAATGTTATTATTCATAGCCATAGTGTAAATATTATCGTGTTAAGAAGTTGTTTTTTTATACCATTTTGAAGAAGTATGCAAAATTTCAATAAAATGCGTCGATTTTAATATTTAACGTTTTGAGAAATCTTATCCAAGGAAACATTTTTAATTTAACTTCACAAGCAAAGAACCTGCTGTAGCTGCAATTCTTTTGCTCCTGCATGTACATATTGTTTTTCGAACTATTTTGGAACCAACAAGAAGTATTGTTGTAATGTTTTACCAAACTTATTGATTCAACCTCTCATTAACATTTAATTTAAGCTACGAAAACACTGCTCATAAATAAACTTGATAGCTGACAAAAGATTACTTGGCAATGAAACATATTTGTCATTGAACGAAATTAAATTAAATTATTGTTTATAGGTCTCTTTTAAGAACTGAGGAATGTATACAAATAATCGATTTAACTAGTATGTGGCTAAGAAATCATTATTTTATGCTTTTATTATGGGCATATTTTTTAACCTCAATTTTTTTATATAAAGTGTTCATTATATGAGACCACTCATTACATATGCGTGTCTTGTGTTGTGGAATACATCGTTAGCCAATTAAAATAGCTTGAAATGACCCAAAGACAATTACAAGTTAATTATTCACTAAGTTATAATTTATATTCGAAAAGATGGTGTACAGAAAAACTATGTCAACATTTAATAACTATTAAAAAAAATTAATCCAACCCAAAACTAATTTAAATAAAACAGCTTTGTAATGAAACGTACCCGCACCGTTTTATAATGAATCCGTCCCTGTAAATATAAAATGAAAATAATTACAAAGAATAGTTAGAATTCCATTACGCGAACCTTACATTAATCTTAATTTTAAAACTAAATATTGTATTGTTTCGAAATTTATCTCATTATTAATAAAAATTATAAAAAGTACAAGTTGGTGTACAATAGAATTCCAACATTCATAATTTTACGTCGTCTTTCAATGGAAGATCCCAAGACAAGTAATTTATCGTTATTGTTATCAACAAAAGGATCTTATCACAATTTAAATTTAGTTCCGAAATTTTGATATACATATAAATACCCCTACCTAACATTAGCAAGAAGTAATGTCGAAAACGCATTATTTTAATTACGTTGGTTTCCGTTAGTAGATTTAGATAGAGATATATCAACAATGAATGAAAAAGACGTTCACCAAACGAGTACCATTGATAATCTACATTTAATTGCCGCCAGCATTTCCGATACTAGTTCAATTTATAATGAAAAATTTACCTGGTACGATTATTCCTTCTTCACAATTATGTTGGCGGCGAGCGCTTTAATTGGTGTCTACTTTGGATTTTATAAGAAGCAGGAAACGATGAAGGATTATCTATTCGGTGGAAAAAATATGGGCGTTTTACCCATATCCATGTCCATGACTGCAAAGTAAGTTATAATTTTAATTAAAATTCACATAATTAAAAAAAAAATCATTTTAGTGCTGTTTCTGGAATATCTCTATTAGCAATTCCAGCTGATATATATCGATACGGAACCGCTTATTGGTTTGGTTATCCCGCAACAATCTTAATAGTTGTATTGTCTTATTTCGTTTTCTTACCCGTCTTTTTTAAATTACAAATCACAAGTACTTTTCATTATCTCAAATTGAGATTTGATACTAAAACAAGACTCTTAGGATCATTATTATATGGGATATATTCGTTTTTATATCTTCCAATTGTCATTTATGTTCCAGCTTTAGCTTTAGCTCAAGGTAAATTAAAAAAAAATTTTATTTATAAATTTAATACTTTTTTTTTACAGCTACAGGTCTTCATTTACATGTAATAACTTGGTTGGTTTGCATAGTTTGTATTTTTTATACAAGCGTGGGGGGTTTAAAAGCCGTCGTTTATTCAGATACATTACAATTTATTTTGATAATGAGTAGTTTATTAATTGTATTTGTGATGGGTACTTATAAAGCTGGGGGAATTTGGAACGTATTAAACATTGCTTATGAAAACGAACGATTTTCAATTCCGTAATAACAAAATATTAAATCAACAATTTTTTTTTTAATTAATTTAATTTTAGAGCTGATTTTGATTTAACAAAAAGAGATACGTTATGGTCTGGAACTATAGGAATCCTTTTTACTTGGTTGTATGGTAATGCGATTAATCAAGTTTTGATTCAGAAATGTTTAGCTTTGCCATCAAGAAAACATATAAAAACGTAATTATTTATTAATTCAATTTATAAATAAAAAGTGATTCATACGTTTTTCTTTATTATTTTAGAAGCTTGATTCTTTATTGTATTGGTATATTTATAATAGGAACGTTATGCGTTACGAACGGTTTATTAATTTACGCTTATTTTTGGAATTGTGACCCAGTTGAATCTGGAATTTTAGAAAAACACGATCAATTAATCCCATTCTATATCATAAATATTTTAAAAATACCTGGGTTACCCGGATTATTTATAGCCGGAATTTTTAGTGCAGCTTTAAGGTAATTATTTAGAGCTTAATGTTTATAACTCACATTAATTTAAAAATTTAGCACATTATCAGGAAGTATGAACGGCCTCTCAGGAACTATTTACGAAGATTTTATCGGACCAAGACTATCAAAGAAAATAAGCGAATCCACCAAAAGTAAAATTCTAAAATTAATCGCCGTTTTAATCGGTGCTATTTGTACTGTTTTGGTATCCGTTGTTGAACATTTAGGTGGAATTTTAGCACTTTCAAATAGTTTATTAGGTGTTACAACGGGAACTATTGTTGGATTATTCTCTGTTGGGATGTTAATTCCAATGGTTAATTCTAAGGTAAAATTTTTACAAACTTTTTTGTTAACTATTGATTGATACTATATTTTTTGAAGGGTGCTTATTATGGTGGGTTAACAACATTAACTATTATGACCGTAATAGTTGGTGGGTATCAGTGGAATCAAAGTCAAGGAAACTTGGTTTACCCAACTTTACCCATCTCAGTGGAAGGTTGTTCTAATTCGAGTATATTATTGGAAAATCTTAATAAAACGTAAGACAATTAAATTATTATTGATATACAAGTGTCAAAAAAGATCGTTCCAACACATACTAATATGGTAACTAAGTTGATGTAAATTTAAATTAATATACCAACCTTTTGTATTGTAAATAATGGTTATCCCAAGAACGGTAGAACCCATCCTTTGTATCCTTCGTTCTTTTGTAATCTAGAAAAGTGCTTCTAGTTCTAGATCTAGTGTTAGTTCTAACATTAGCTAATTCCAAGTTTAAAATAGTAGTTCTTTTCCCCATTTTTGATGTCATGAACGGACCGTCGAGCTATGTACCTGTAACAGGAATGTAACTTAGTTTCTACCGTCCTGGGGATTTTCCATTTTCCATTACAGCTTCTTCGATGTAGAAGATGTCTTGTACATCTGAGAACGTTATTTTTTGACAGTTTGTATAATGGACACTTCACAAGTAGTGTGAATTTCATATGAATAATTTCACTTTGAAATAAAATGAGCAAACTTTTTATAATAACTAGTTCGAAATTTCGAAATAACGAATCAATGCCTGATGATAAACTGCAATGAGCAACTTCTTGGGGTAAATTCTTCTAAATATATTAGCTCCTATCCAGCAACCATACGGATAATGAGAGTATTAAATTGGAACCAATAAGCAATTTCGAATATCAACAAGAACGTATTGAATATTTAAGTAATGCAAAGATATTCTGCGACTGCAGAGTGATTGTGAACATGACCTAGATTAAATTAGTAAAACGAAATACGGCATAAAACTTGCGAATTAAACGTTGTTGGTGAACTAGTACGTATGTTCACGGATAAACGGCAATATGTTGTGCATTATTCTAAACCAGCTTGTCAAATAAGTCATTAAATCCCTGGATGTGGTGAAATTCATAAAGACTTCATAACCAAGTATATAGTTAATGGAACTGTTAGATACCAACAAAGTCAAATCACTCTGCTTTACTACACACAACAATATGTAAACATGATAAATGTAGAAAACGAACGAAGCAGAAAGGCCTTCCTTGCAACCCACCTCGAAATATAAAGTAAAAGTATGATTCTAATCTTTGCAGTGTGTGCGATCCTAAAATAATAACAAAAATAAAATTACAAAAGCACAAAATCAATATTCTACATTAAAACAGTATTTAACGCTTGTTTAAAGTAGGGAAAATGTTCAAACATTTTGAAACAAGTAGATATTTTCTTGTAGAGTTTTTTATAGACACTTTATACGAGTTCAAAGTCTTCTTTATTTGTTTCCGAAGCTATATTCAGAACAGATACGTGACACTAAAATGCGCATCGAATGTTTCAAAGATTCTAACAGAAAGTGAACCTCAAGCATTGATTATTTATCTAACATGAGACATCTATAAAGAACCTGATGAGAACCAAATAACCATTTGATTTGAAAACATCACTCGCATATACTAAAACATACACTACATATATCTGCAGAAAATAATTTAATCAGAAACAGGGAGTGAACCAGGTAAAATAAAAAGTAGTAATTTGTACTTGAAAATACATATTGGAGAGAAATTTAATTCCTACGAAGCAAACACTAGCGGTAGTTACTGAAAGGTATATAACATTCTGCTTCCGAGATTTTGGCTCTATACAAAAATGATAATAGTCGAAACAAGTACCTACGAGCCTACTGCCTGGGTATAATAAGTAATAACAAGTTAAGGGACAACGAAGACTGAATAGTCCATAGAGAGGAGTGGTATTAAGGTTGATCGATGTTTCAACAATGTTAAAGGAATCTCGTGAAAACACTCTAAAAATCTAGAATTAATTCAAGGACTTTGCTGGTTACGTTTAAGTTTTTGTAAAACAAAAGAGGGATCAGAAATGAGTTCCACACCAACAAGCAGTTTGGTTCACTCCGCAATTTTGATAAGTTTTGTGGCAATGAAATGAACTAATACAGCAGCTAATGAGCAGTTGTTCTTGTTCTGTTAATGTTAAATTAAAATTATTAGATGATTTCATAAATGGATTTCTAATCCAATCAAATTATTTAGTGTTTTTCTTCAATATTTGGTAAATGTTCGACAATTATTGGAAGTGTTTCCAAGTTGTCTTCAACAGTTTTTGTTTTCCAAATCTGCAGTACTTTTTGTAACGCTTTTATATTGCCGATGGATGTGAGAATATTTTCATTTTTGTCTTGCATGCTAGAATATAAAATATTAAGTTGCTGAAATCTTAATGTTACACTAACTATATTTTTTTCTATATCAGGAGACATTTCTATAATATTCCTGCGAGCTGTATCGTTGGGCAGTGAAATCATGTTTATTTTCATTGCTGTTGTATTTTCTAGCATTATCATGACCATTTGTTTGTATGCAGGTAATAAAAAGTTACTCACCTAATGTATTAGGCTTATAGCGGCTTTTATATTTTGTGATCAATTGTGAGACTTTATAAGATGAGATTTGAGCTTTATCTGAAACAGTCATCGTACTTTTAAAACAATTCGCCATTGTTGTTTGCTAATAACTTATAGAGCAACGTTGTAAAATAGAGTGGACAGTTTTAAAATGCCAATTTCTTCCATATATCTTATTAAAAAAAAAGATTTCTTAATACTTCCAATCGATGCATGCGAAGATCTGTTGACAAAATCCAAAACTGGCAGACAATTGTATTAAATAGTAGGGAAATGAATAATGAAAATTTTCTTGCAGAAATCCTATCACAATGCTTTCTGCGACTAAAAAAAACAGTGAAATAGAAATGGTGAAATCATCAAATATTTGAGAGGCTTTTTCGACCATTACCTTATTTGGAAATTCATCATCAATAAGAAAATCATGACGTAGACTTTCTCAAAGATAATATCGATGCTCCTAATTACCCCATAAATGGAGAAGCACGCACTATGAGTGGTGAAGATTTGAGAGGAGAATGGCAATGAAAGTGTTAAGGTTAACTTGGAGAATAGAAAAGATAAAAATCACAACTTGTTCTCAAAAAAGGTTGCAAATGAAAATAAATTCATACTTAAAGAGATATCAGAAACATTATATTCGCTAAAATAGAAGATATGAAACCTTAGAACATAAATTTATTAATGTTATTCACACTACTTTTACCCTGATATCTAAAATATTTACTAATTCTTTTGTATTATTTTTAAAGAATTTCAACAACAGCAGCTCACAACGAAGACGTTTTCTTCTTATTTAGAATCTCTTTTTATTGGTATACTTTAATAGGTTTAATAATTTTCACAATCACCAGTGTATTAATTAGTTCGTGCACTAAAACTGGAAAGATCGTCAGCAGGGATTTACTAAGTCCTGTAATTTACAGGTTTTTATCTGAAAATTATATGACATCACCTCCTACTTATACATCAATAGATAAAGCTTTAATTGTAATTGAAAATAATAAATAAAAAAATATAAAGAAGTTTATTTTTTAATTAAAAATTAAATTCCTTCTTTGGAAACCATTCTTAATCATCTTTAAATTAAAGTAAATGTGAATAGAAGTTATTATATTATTACTATAAAATATCCCTTTTTTGTTGATTAGTATGATGAAGTGTGCAAACATTTCTAATAGCATTTCTATATCTATTAGAAAAATGTCTATAATGAACCAACACTACCAGCATAATGCAAATGAGTGTTAATTACAGTTCCAGCTTGCCACGATGGCGTTAGAAACAATTTAAACGTCAAATTTTTTTATCATTGCAAATTAATACCTGAAATATAAGGGTAATCAATTTTTATATCATAATTAATGCCGCATGAACAAGTTTAAAAAATGGACCGTAAAGTACCTGTGCATAATTAAGAACCACAAGTATAATTATACAATAGAAATGATATACATATACATAGTACCAGCATGTTCTTTAGAATTATAAAATTAATTTCAAGGGATCAACTTTTATAGAAAAATTCAAAAATGTTGATTGATAAATATAATAACATATTACCCATTAATCAAAACGTTATAGTATTAGTTCCAATAAATACTAAATGTCGTTTCAATAAAATTAATAACCTATGAAGAATTTGTTTACGGTTTAAAACCAAAATTCAAAGCAATTTTAACACCGCGACCTTCCAAAGAGGTTTAAAATATTTTCTAATATACATTTTCCTATCTTTAAATGGTTATTGAAGGGGAGAGGTATAAATATTAACAATAACTCAGGATGTTTTCATTATTCATTATCATTTTCTTCAACGGTTTTGAACGATGGAGAACGAAAACGATGCATTTTCTATTATAGATTACGTTGTGTTAGGGTTAATGTTATTAATAAGTTTAGCAATTGGATTCTATTATGCGTTATTTAAGAAACAAAATTCAGCTACGGAATACTTACATGGAGGAAAAAATATGAATTTTATTGCGGTTTCTTTATCGATAGTTTCAAGGTAAATTCTTCTTTTAATTATTCTTTTTTATTAAATTTTTTAAAAATTTTTATTTTTTAGCGTCATTTCTGGAGTTAGTTTAATTTCGGTCCCAACTGAAATTTATTATTATGGATCACAACAACAACTAACATTTTTTACAATAATTTTGGTTGGAATTACATCGTATTATTTAATTTTACCGGTTTTTTTCAAACTTCAATTAACCAGTATTTTTAAATATTTCGAATTAAGATTTAATTCTAAAGTAAAATTGTTTTCATCGATTTTAAATACAATTTTAATGATTATTTATTCACCAATCGTCGTTTATGCACCAGGACTTATTGTATCACATGGTAACATTTTTTTTATTAACTTTTTTATTAATTTTTATTTTTTATATTTTATTTTTAGTCACAAAAATCAACGTCCATTACATAACACCAATTATTTGTTTAGTTTGTATACTTTATACAGTTTTTGGTGGAATCAAAGCGGTTATTTGGACGGATGCTTTGCAATCATTGATAATGATTGGTTCATCAGCTACGGTTATTGCACTCGGAATCATAGAACATGGTGGAATTGGAAACGTTTTTAAAACGAATTATGAAACGGGTCGATTCATTTTAAAGTTTGTATTAAAAGTCGCAACTTTTAGTTTAAAAAATAAATTGAAATTCAGATTTGATTTAGATCCAACGTTAAGAGATACGATATGGAGTTTGACTTTTGGCACTTATTTCCATGTTTTGGGAATATACAGTTTTGGACAAAGTACAATTCAAAAGTATCTATCTTTAAAAGACTTTAAAGATGTAAAAAGGTAAGAAAATAATTTTGATTTGATTATTCAAAGTTTAACTACCTCAATAGATAATCTTAAATCGATTTAATAAGACCTTTGCAACTCAAAAGGTTGTAATTGCAATGTGTTGTTGCATTTATATGTTCATAATTAAGTTCCAGATCATTTCTCGTGAGATGTTTCTTAATTTTAAAGTATTCAATTTGTCGCCAATGTTTTAAAGTAGATAGTTTGCAGATGTCTATTGGTCTTAAAAGTTTCAATTACTAGACCAGAAATCATCTTGATACAAGTAATATTTGGCAGTTTAGGGAAGTTTTTGTAATTAAGGACATTTTATCTATCAGTTACCAAGATATGTTCTTTTATTGTCATTCGTGTTCTTGACAAAATCATCATTCCAGACAAAAGTATCGATAATGAGCTGTCATGTAGTAAGTCACCTATCTTTGGTAGGCTGAATTTCTCAGTGATTGATTATAGAATCTCTAGTTAGAATTTGGAAGTAGTAGAATAAGGAATAAATTGTGCAGAATATGCCATGGTTACAGATGTTCTGACGATTTTTCTTGTCAACAACTTTCTGTTGATCACGCATAAATAGCGGATGGTTGGGAAGTTTTCCTCACACTTATCATACATAATATTAGAAACCAAATTTTTGCGTTGGTCATTAGACAGAACTTCAAAACAAGCTTTATAAGCACTTTGCTGAAAAAATGTTCTATTACGTTTTTTCCCTCTCTCGCTCTCAAAAAGTGTGCAGCTGTTGCATACATGATAGGAGACATTTACGAGAAGACAGCATGATTGAGAATGAGGAGACATATAAAAAAGTTGCTGAGACTCATATCAGCATATGGATACACATTAAAGAATGAAGATGTTACTAAAATCAAATTTTCAACATCTCTTACATCATTATTCCAAATTTCCTTTGAAGTTCTATGTAAAATAATTGAATGAAATTAATGTATAAATTAATTGATATTTTTTAATAAATCTGTTTAAGAACAAACATAATTGCTTCGTTTGGATTAATATTGGTATTTTTCTTGTGCCAACTATGTGGATATGTGGCTTTGGCTCGTTACGTTTTTTGCGATCCTAAAAGTGTGAATAAAATACAAAAACCCGATCAAATTTTACCTTATTACATCATGGATTTAGGCAAATCATTTCCAGGCTTGGCCGGAATATTTGTAGCTGGTGTTATTAGCGCCGGATTGAGGTAAAAGAAAACCATGACATTTTTATTCAATTTAATTAATTCTTTTTTTGAAGCACTTTATCGGCCATACTTAACAGTTTAGCTGCAACAATGTACAACGATTTCTTATGTAATTTATTACCCAATAAAATCGTTAAAAACCACGAAGCAACAACTTTAAAATTTCTCGTCGCTATTTTAGGGGTTTTATGTGTCTCTATGGTTTATATTATTGAACATTTAGGAACAACACTACTTCCTTTGGTAACAACTTTTCTTGGACTTACAAGTGGTCCGATGGTAGGGTTATTTTTTGCAGGAATGTTATTACCCAATATAAACGCAACGGTAAGTCATAAATTTATGAATAATATTTATAAAAAACATTAATAACTTGTAGAGTGTCTTAATCGGTGGAGTAACCTCCTTAGTAATACTTATATGGATCGTTTTTACTTCACAATGGTATAAAACAAACAAAATGCTTGTATATCCGACTTTAAATGTGTACACAAATAGTTGTAAATTTCAAACCAACGATTCGAGTATTCTTTTGAATCCAATAACGAATATAACAAATGTAACAATCAATGACGTGCCGTGGATTTATAGAATATCTCACCATCTTTACCCAATTATTGGAGTTATAGTTGTTGTAGTAATAAGCTTAATAGCGAGTTATTTCTTTAAAAATAAGGAGCCTGTTAATGAAGATTATTTAAGTCCGGTGGTTGCGCGTTATATGAGACGAAAGCGTTATGGAAAATCAGCCAGTTATGTTAGTATAGAGAAAGCTCATTTGCAATTAAATGATATAAAAGACTGAACGATTTAATGTTTCTAATTAATTTAATTAATTTTTCATATACTTTTTTAATTTGTGCTGTAATTTAACAGAAATTCATTAAAGTAAAACTATTTAACCTTGAATAGTACATTTTTTTTAATTTCCAAAATATTCGCGTAGTTTTTGTGTTTAGTGTAACATTAAATAGACAAGAGTAAAGAGTAACAACATTTTTTGAAAAAAATATGGATTATACTTTTCAAATAGTCGATTATGTTATGTTGTGTTTAACAATTTTGTTTAGTATAGGAATTGGATTATATTATGCAATTTTTAAAAAACAAAACACCCCAGAGGAGTATTTACATGGTGGAAGAGTAATGAATCCTTATGCTGTGGCTTTTTCAATCGTTTCTGGGTAATAAACGATTATATCTTAATTAGTTTTATTGAATTATTCTTTTAGTATTATATCTGGAATTATTATGACATCGTTACCAACAGACATTTATTACTTTGGTTCCCATTATGGTTTTTTACAAACACCAGCAACATTAATAGCATATTCAATTAGCTATTTTTGTGTTATCCCAGTTTTCCATAAACTTCAACTAACCAGTATCTTTCATTATTTTGAGCTAAGATTTAATTCTAAAGTTAGAAAATTATCATCTTTTATGTTTACGTTTCAAGTTATACTTCAAATGCCACTCGTTCTTTTTGTAACTGTTTTGGTTGTTGCACAAGGTAAGTTTCTCAAAATTACAAAACAATTAAAAAAATTTAATTTATTTTTAGTTTCTAGAGTAAATTTATCCCATGTAACATTATTAATTTCTTTTATTTGTACCACTTATACGATTTTTGGTGGTATTAAAGCCGTAGTTTGGACTGACGCCCTTCAATTTCTTGTTATGTTGGGAGCGATGATTACTGTATTGATTATTGGAACAATTTCTGTTGGAGGAATTGAAAATTTATTTCGAATATCATACGAAAATGGACGAATTAAATTTGAGTATGTATAATTTATTAATTAAACAGTTCGAATGACAAATTAATATTTCTAATAATAAATCATTTTAATAATTGTAGTTTCGATTATGACATGACTAAAAGGGATACTGTATGGGGAGTTATGCTGACTTTGATTTTTCAATCTTTATCATTGAGTGGTATTGCTCAAGGAACGATACAAAAAATGTTATCGCTGAAGAATTTTAGTGATATTAAACGGTAATCTTAAATCTATTTTCCATAATTTTCTACTAAAATGAAAGTATTTGCTCGAACACATTTTTCTAGAAAACAAAATTATAAAACATTATTAAATTTTAAATTAAAGCTATTTGTTTTTAGAGCCTATTTATTTACAATACTTAGTTGGATTTTGTTATTAACATTAGGGACCTTAATCGGACTAATGCTTTTAGCTCGATATGTAATGTGTGATCCTTTAATCACTAAACAAATTAGTAAGCCTGATCAATTAATGCCTTATGCTATCTTGAATATATCCAGGACGCATCCAGGTTTGCTAGGAGTTTACGTTGCGGGAATCGTCAGTTGTGGATTAAGGTATGATTAATTAAAACAATTCTAAAAAATAATTTAATATATTGTTATTTTAGTACATTATCGGCGAATTTAAATAGTTTATCTGCCACGATTTTTAACGATTTTCTAAGAAATTGTTTACCACAACCTATAATAAGAAAACATGAAATGTTAATATTAAAACTTATAGTTTTATTAGCAGGAGTTACTTGCACGGTTTTAACATATGTCGTAGAACATTTAGGAAATGTACTCCCGTTGCTTGTTAATCTTTTAGCTCTTACAGGAAGCCCTATTGTTGGATTATTTTTTGCCGGATTATTTTTTCCCAGTGTAAACTCAAAAGTAAATTACAAAATTGTTAAAATAACCAATTCTTAAGTTATTATTTTTAGGGTGCTTTAATCGGAGGAATATCATCGCTCCTAATATTATCTTGGTTAATAATAAGCACATTTTGGTATAAAATAAGTAATCGCGTTGAATATCCAACGTTACCTACATTTATCACTTCATGTAATATTTCTGAAATCGCCAATATTTCAACGACCTCAACGTAATTTTTTTTTTATTATTATTATTTCAATTATATCTTGTAATACTTGCAGGGATAAAATATTTAATAACGATCCAACTGTGCCAATAATGTACCAAATCTCCCATTATTATTATAACCCAATTGGAGCTCTCACAGTGATTATAATCAGCATTTTAATAAGTTACTTAACCAAGAAAAAGAACCATTATGTTAAAGATGATTATTTAAGTCCGTTAGTACTCTATTTTAGAAAGAAAATAAGTTATTCAAAGTATAAAAGTGTAGAGCTTCGTGATATAAATTCATAAGAAATTCTTTTTAATAAAAATATTTAAAATTACAAGGTTAACTTCTTTTTTTAATTTTTAAATGTAACAATTTGTACTTCCTGATTGTAGAGCAATTCAGCAATGAAATTAGTATAAGCGCTAAAGCAAAAAGAAAACTAAAATTATGATTTTCGCTTATTAAACTGAATAAGCGAACGACAACAGACCTGAAATAAAGAAGATTAATCCCCCAATCTTCAACGAAGGAGGCTCCAGCGGAGAGATTAACAGGAAAGGAGCGAAAGCTTACTAGAATATGGCTGACACTTTTTAAGGGCTTTTTGAATTGTCAGAACTGTTTTTTCAGGAAGGACCACAACGTGTAGTGGTACTGGACTAGTGGAATATGCATGTAAATCATTCACTTGGAAAGAAAGAAGCCTGCATATCCACTGGTGAAGGTTAACAAATTTAAAGTTCGCAGACGATATAGTTTTGTTCTTCCACAATTTTAAGGAGAATGGTGCGTGATCTCCTTCATGTATGTGCTAGTAGAAATGAAGAAGAACTAGCAAAAAAGCACATATTCCATGGGCAGAAAATAAAGATTTCGAAAGGCTATCAGACATGAATTGTAAAAAAGAATAAATGTCGCATGCCAATCTGAAGGATCTTCAAAAGTAACTTGCCACTGTCTAAACCGCTAAACATTTGATCAACGGGTATTACCAATGATGACCTACAGTGCTGAAACGTTGACCCTGACGACAACAACTTCTAAAAAACTTCAAATAATAAAGAAAATTCAAGAAGTCATTTTGATTTGGCGATTTCTGACCGAATAATAAACAGGGACCTAAGAAGAATGACCTGAGTTACTGATCTCATTATGCGAATTGCAAAATACAAATGGAATTGGGTAGAGCATTTGGCCAGTTTGAGGGATGGAAGTTGGACAAAGAGAAGTAAAGGAAGACCAGCCTCACGCAGGACTGACGATCTCAAAACAATACCGAAAAATTGAAAACAATGGCCGCGCGATAGAGAGAAGTGGGCAAAAATGATTATAAACATTATAATTTAAATATACAGCATATAACAATTACTAAAATTGTACATACCGTTCAATGTATTAATAGTAATTATATAATTTTGCACTGCCTTTACCTTAGAAGAAATCACATCTTATAATATTTAATCAAGCAAAATTATTAGATTCATCCCGTTAGTTACTTATCAACTATTTCTCTGTTCGATGAACCCCGATTTTTTAGCTAAAAAAAGATGCTCAGATAAACATGTGTTTTTTTTATTTAAAATTGTAAAATAAACAACTCAGCCTCCTACGCTCTTTTAACTTATGCGAGGTTCTGCAGTACTTTCGTATTCCATAAATTAGTCTTAAACACCCATTTTGGACTTATTGAACCCGTCTTCGATTGTCCTTAGTTATGCAGGCAACATAGATCGAGTCACAGTGATTTTCTACTTCATTAGTAAAGCATGATTGCATGATGATGTTAACAGATATGATAGACGACGTTTAACAATATCAAGAATTGATGTTTATAGATAATGGGCATCATACTGAGGGAGTCCAAAACAGTATTGAGGGATGTTTTATTGAAATATGTAAAGAACAATTTCGAATTTGTGAAAAACTGGGATAGATATTCGGGAATGTTGAGAGATCAAAGAGGGCGTTGTTGATTGTTGGGGTAGACGGACTACTCCGGTATCACATACTTGTCCCAATGCGCCTGGAAGTACTGCTTTTGCCATAAGATGTTGATGTTGTCCCTGTTAGTCAACTCTAGCACCAAGATTCTCTGGAAATTGATTAAAGTGATTGCATTATTTTCCTTAAGCTGATCCGCACAGATGTCAGAAGCGAAAATTTTGTTCCTCGAAAATTTCTGTAATAGTTTAATTATCGAGCTTAGAAGGCTTATTCCACCATAGTTCTCAGGATCTTTCTGGCATCCTTCTTGAATATTGGTATTGTTATGCTTTCTTTCCATTTCATTGGTATACATTTTGTTTGTATTACTTTGTCGGACAACTATTCATATATCCTCCATGTCCTGGAGTAATGCGCCCCCATCGTATTTTAAAATGTCATTCTACATCCTATCCACCCTGTAATTTTTTATATTTTGTTTGGATATGGACTATAATATGCTTTGTATTTGGGCTCTCGCAAGTGTTTCGACAACGGTGTACAATTTTCAAAAGTGTTTCTCCCCACTCGTTCAGTGCAATTTTTATAAGATTCACATGTTCATTGACTGACTTTTTTCTAATTCTTAGAATATTCAAAATTTTTCTTTGCTTAACATAAAGATCATACTCCAACTCTTTCGATGTATTGGATTTTGTTATTGATCCAATTTCTCATGAGTTTATAATCCTCGAATGTTATCGAGTATAAATAAAATCTTTAAAAACCATGAAGCAACAACATTAAAATTTCTAATCGCTATTTTACACGCATAATGTGTCTCTATGGTTTATGTAATTGAACATTTAAGTATTATTTTTTACAGCAACGTTATTATCCAATATAAATGCAACGTAAAAAAAAATATTGTGTTGAAATATCCTTCCTTAATTTGTGTTGTAATTTAATAATAATTCATTAAAGGAAAAACATTTAACCTTGAATAGTAGTTTCAGAATATTCGCGTTGTTTTTGTATGTAGTTTAACACTGTTACTACTTAACAGAAAAGAATAAAGAATAACAACATATATTAAGAAAATATGGATTACACTTTCCAAATAGTAGATTATGTCATGTTGTGTTTAACATTTTTGTTGAGTATCGGAATTGGATTATATTATGCAATTTTTAAAAAACAAAATACCCCAGACGAGTACTTACATGGTGGAAAAACTCTGAACCCGTATGCTGTGGCTTTTTCAATCGTATCGGGGTAATAAACGATTATTTATTAATCAATTTTATTAAGTTATTCTTTTAGTATTTTATCTGGAATTGTTATGACATCTTTACCAACAGACATTTACTATTTCGGTTCTCAATATGGATTTTTACAAACACCAACAACATTGATAATATATTCAATAAGCTATTTTTGGGTTATCCCCGTTTTCCATAAACTTCAAGTAACCAGTATCTATCATTATTTTGAGTTAAGATTTAATTCTAAAGTTAGAAAATTATCATCTTTTATGTTTACGTTACAAGTAATACTTCAAATGCCACTTGTTCTTTATGTAACTGTTTTAGTTATTGCACAAGGTAAGTTACTTAAAATTACAAAACGATTTCAAAACATAATTTTTAGTTTCTAGAGTAAATTTATCCTATGTGACATTAATAATTTGTTTTATTTGTACTACTTACACGATCTTTGGTGGTATTAAAGCAGTAGTTTGGACTGATGCCCTTCAATTTCTCGTTATGTTGGGAGCGATGATTACTGTATTGATTATTGGAACAATTTCTGTAGGAGGAATTGAAAATTTATTTCGAGTACCATACGAAAATGGGCGAATTAAATTCGAGTATGTTGAATTACAAAGTGATGAATTAATAATTAAATAATTTTAATAATTTTAGTTTCGATTATGACATGACTAAAAGAGATACTGTATGGGGAGTTATGTTGGGTTTGACTTTTCAATCTTTATCAATAAGTGGTATTGCTCAAGGAACGATACAAAAAATGTTATCGCTGAAGAATTTTAGTGATATTAAACGGTAGTCTTAAATCTATTTTCCATAATTTTCTACTAAAATGAAAGTATTTGTTCGAACACATTTTTCTAGAAAACAAAATTATAAAACATTATTAAATTTTAAATTAAAGCTATTTGTTTTTAGAGCCTATTTATTTACAATAATTAGTTGGATTTCGTTATTAACAATAGTGACCTTAAATGGACTAATGCTTGTAGCTCGATATGTAATGTGTGATCCTTTAATCATTAAACAAATTACTAAGCCTGATCAATTAATGCCTTATGCTATCTTGAAGATGTCCAGGACGCTTCCAGGTCTACTAGGGGTTTATGTTGCGGGGATCGTCAGTGGTGGATTAAGGTGTATTAATTAAAACAATTATAGAAAAAATAAAAATTAAATGTGTTGTTGTTTCAGTACATTATCGGCTAATTTAAATAGTTTATCAGCAACGATTTTTAATGATTTTCTAAGAAATTGTTTACCACAATCTATAATAAGAAAACATGAAATGTTAATATTAAAACTTATAGTTTTATTAGCAGGAGTTACTTGCACGGTTTTAACATATGCCGTAGAACATTTAGGAAATATACTCCCGTTGCTTGTTAATCTTTTAGCTCTTACAGGAAGCCCTATTGTTGGATTATTTTTTGCCGGATTATTTTTTCCCAGTGTAAACTCAAAAGTAAATTACAAAATTGTTAAAATAACCAATTCAAAGTTATTATTTTTAGGGTGCTTTAATCGGAGGAATATCATCGTTCCTAATATTAACTTGGTTAATAATAAGCACATTTTGGTATAAAATAAATAATCGTGTGGAATATCCAACATTACCCATATTTACCACTTCATGTAATGTTTCTGAAATCGCCAATATTTCAAAATCCTCAACGTAAGTTTTTTATTATTATTTCAATTATATCTATTAATACTTGCAGGGATAAAATATTTAATAACGATCCAACTGTGCCAATAATGTACCAAATATCTCATTATTATTACCACCCAATTGGAGCTATCTCAGTGGTTATAATCAGCGTTTTAATAAGTTACTTAACCAAGAAGAAAAATCATTATGTTAAAGATGATTATTTAAGTCCGTTAGTACTCTATTTTAGAAAGAAAATAAGTTATTCAAAGTATAGGAGTGTAGAGCTTCGTGATATAAATTCATAAGAAATTCTTTTTAATAAAAATATTTAAAATTACAATATTAACTTCTTTTTTTAATTTTTAAATGTAACAATTTGTACTTCCTGATAGAGTAATTCAGCAATGAAATCGGTATAAGCGCTAAAACAAAAAAATTTATGATAATTAATCCAGCGAACGATAACAGACCTGAAATGAGGAAGATGGGTTCATTAATCTTCAACGAAGGAGACTCCAGCGGAGAGCTTAATAGGAGAAGTGCGAAAACTTACCAGAATATGGTTGACACTTTTTAAGGGCTGTTTTAATTGTTGGAACTGTTTTAGTTGTTTCAGGAAGGACCACAACGTTTAGTGGTACTGGACTACTGGAATATGCATGTAAATCATTCGATTGAAAAGAAAGAAACCTACAGATTGACTAGTAAAAGTTAACAAATTTAAAATTTGTAAACGATATAGTTTTGTTCTCCGAATCTTAAGGAGAATGGTGCGAATCTCCTCCAAGTATGTGCTAGTGGAAGTGAAGTAGAACTAGCAGAAAATAAAGATTTCGAAAGATCATCAAACATGAATTATAAAAAAGAATAAATGTGGCATGAGCAGCCTATGCCAATGTGAAGGATCTTCAAAATGAACTTGCCACTGTGTAAATCGAAAAAAACATTTAATCAACGCGTATTACCAGTGATGACCTACCTGTTAATAGTAATTATATAATTTTGCACTGCCTTTACCTTAGAAGGAATTACATCATATAATATTTAATGAAGCAAAAGTATTCGATTCATCTCGTCAGTTACTTTCTCAATTCGATGAGTCCCAGATTTTAGCTAGAAGTTTCTAGATATTGTAGCATATCATATTTAATTCCAGCTATGCAATTAAAATATAATTTAAAAAAATAATAGGGGCTAATGCAGGACTTTACAACTATGTCGCCGATAGAAAAAAAACAAACACCAGCCTTTAACGATCAGTTTAAAAACATTACTTCAACAGCAAGTGCAACCTTTAGATTAATTTCATGGATAATTGAAAAATCGATGTAAAGGTTTTTATTAAAAAATTTAATTGTGACTATTAATCTTAAAATTTTCATTTTTAATACAGATATATTATTATTAATCCAATTTTTCTAAGACAGGATGTATTTTGTAAAAATAAAACTTTAATTTTATTTATTTCCATTTATTTCACCTTAATATGTTACGATGCGATAAAACTTCAAGATTTTCTTGATGTCGTACTTTTAAGTTCTCCTTCGTATCAACGGTCCTAATTTTTTCCTATCATTTAATTTGCGATTAACACCATTTAGTTTTCTTTGATCCCATTTCTCCCCATTTCTAACGGTTTTCATTTTTGGTAATACTCTTCGAGGGTTAACATTATTGTTCCTGGCTCCTTCATCATAATAATGTCCATGATGGTGTGGATGGTGATCATGATGATGATGATCATGATGATAATGATCATGATGATCATGATGATGGTAGTCGCAGTCATGATAATGATGATCATAGTGGCAATCATGATAATGATGGCCATAATGACCATTGTCGGGAAGTAGTATTTGGGATGATGAACATGTATCAAAAGTCTATGAATCATTAAAAATTATATTATTTATGATAACCTAAAAAATATAAAAAAAAACAAAATACTTACTGATATTAAAAAATAAATCACAATTACTATAAACTCTCTTAACTTCAACATAGTAGTTAGGTTCAATATCATAAAATGAAATGCTTCAACCATGGTAATTAATGAACAAGAAGGAAATGTCGTAATTTTTTTATTTCTTTCTGCTTCATTAGTAAAGCATGATTGTATGCTCACATATTCACAAAATAACATGAAATAAGTCCACTAAAGTCTACGAAATAACTGTATTTCAAGCGATTGTCGACCTAAATACAATGAATAACTTTATCCAATGCATAAATATGTATTCTTATTTAATTCTCCGCTATCAAAGTTGCCAATTCCAGTTTTGGCCTAGATCATTTATGAGACACAGCTAGAGTTTGGTAAAGTGTCCGACTTTTTTCAGCACTCATCATCATTTAATGACATTTATGTAATTTATTACCAAATAAAATCGTTAAAAACCATGAAGCAACAACATTAAAATTTAAATTTAATCACTATTGGCTAATACGTGTTTAATGTGTCTCTAAGGCTGGTGACAAGAGGAAAACTTTTCGTGGATTTACAATTGGCCCGGTTGTAGAATTATTTTTTACAGAAATGTTATTATTCAATATAAACGCAACGTCAAATTAAAAAATATATTATGGACAATTAACCAGTTATGTATACACTTTTTTAATTTGTAATTAAAAATGTTAAACAAATTTGTAATTATTATGTTTTTGTTTGTTTTGTAATTTAATACAAATTCATTAAAGGAAAAACGTTTAACCTTGAAAAGAACATTTTCTTTGAAATTCCCAGAATATTCGAGTCGTTTTTGTACGTAGTTTAACATTAAACGTACAAAGTTTGAAGAAAATATGGATTTTCAAATAATCGATTATGTTACGTTGTGTTTAACATTTTTGTTGAGTATCGGAATTGGATTATATTATGCAATTTTTAAAAAACAAAATACCCCAGAAGAGTATTTACATGGTGGAAAAACTCTGAACCCGTATGCTGTTGCTTTTTCAATCGTATCTGGGTAACAAACAATTATTTATTAATTAGTTTTACTAAGTTATTCTTTTAGTATTTTATCTGGAATAGTTATGACATCATTACCAACAGATATTTACTATTTCGGTTCTCAATATGGATTTTTACAAACACCAACAACTTTAATAATATATTCAATAAGCTATTTTTGGGTTATCCCCGTTTTCCATAAACTTCAAGTAACCAGTATCTATCATTATTTCGAATTAAGATTTAATTCTAAAGTTAGAAAATTATCATCTTTTATGTTTACGTTTCAAGTTGTACTTCAGATGCCACTCGTTCTTTTTGTAACTGTTTTAGTTGTTGCACAAGGTGAGTTTTTCAAAATTACAAAACAATTAAAAAAATAATTTTTAGTTTCTAGAGTAAATTTATCCCATGTTACATTAATAATTTGTTTTATTTGTACTACATATACGATTTTTGGTGGTATTAAAGCAGTAGTTTGGACGGATGCTCTTCAATTTTGCGTTATGTTTGGAGCGATGATTACTGTTTTGATTATTGGAACAATTTCTGTTGGAGGAATTGAAAATTTATTTCGAATACCATACGAAAATGGGCGAATTAAATTCGAGTATGTTTAATTTGTTATTTAAACAGTTCAAGTGATGAATTAATAATTAAATAATTTTAATAATTTCAGTTTCGACTATGACATGACTAAAAGAGATACTGTATGGGGAGTTATGCTGGGTTTGACTTTCCAATCTTTATCGTTGAGTGGTATCGCTCAAGGAACGATACAAAAAATGTTATCACTGAAGAATTTTAGTGATATTAAAAGGTAAAAGTCTTAAAAATATTACTTACACTATTAAATTTTAAACTAAAACTATTTGTTTTTAGCGCTTATTTATTTACAGCAATTAGTTGGATTTTATTATTAACAATAGCCACCCTAAATGGAATAATGCTCGTAGCTCGATATGTAATGTGTGATCCTTTAACCACTAAACAAATTAGTAAACCTGACCAATTAATGTCTTATGCCATCTTGAACATGTCCACAACACTTCCAGGTTTATTAGGAGTTTTTGTTGCCGGAATTGTCAGTGCTGGATTAAGGTGTGATTAATTAAACAATTCTAGAAAACAAAAATTAAATATGTTGTTTTAGTACATTATCGGCTAATTTAAATAGTTTATCAGCAACGATTTTTAATGATTTTCTAAGAAATTGTTTACCACAATCTATAATAAGAAAACATGAAATGTTAATATTAAAACTTATAGTTTTATTGGCAGGAGTTACTTGCACGGTTTTAACATATGCCGTAGAACATTTAGGAAATATACTCCCGTTGCTTGTTAATCTTTTAGCTCTTACAGGAAGCCCTATTGTTGGATTATTTTTTGCCGGATTATTTTTTCCCAGTGTAAACTCAAAAGTAAATTACAAAATTGTTAAAATAACCAATTCTTAAGTTATTATTTTTAGGGTGCTTTAATCGGAGGAATATCATCGTTCCTAATATTAGCTTGGTTAATAATAAGCACATTTTGGTATAAAATAAATAATCGTGTTGAATATCCAACGTTACCGATATTTACCACTTCATGTAATGTTTCTGAAATCGCCAATATTTCAATATCCTCAACGTAAGTTTTTTTATTATTATTTCAAATATATCTATTAATACTTGCAGGAATAAAATATTTAATAACGATCCAACTGTGCCAATAATGTACCAAATCTCTCATTATTATTATCACCCAATTGGAGCTATCTCAGTTGTTGTAATCGGTGTTTTAATAAGTTTCATAACCAAGAAGAAAAATCATTATGTAAAAGATGATTATTTAAGTCCGTTAGTACTCTATTTTAGAAAGAAAATAAGTTATTCAAAGTATAAGAGTGTAGAGCTTCGTGATATAAATTCATAAGAACTTCCTTTTAATAAAAATATTTAAAATTACAGGGTTAACCTTTTTTTAACATTCTGAAATATAACAATTTGGACTTCCAGATAGTAGAGCAATGCAGCAATGAAATCGGTCTAAGCGACAATGTCTCAGTAGTTCATAAGCACACGTGAGTCGTTTGCTTGCTTCGAGACTGACTGCTTCGCATACCAATTCATCAGTAATAAAGTTTTTATCTTAATTTTCAGCTTGGTACGGTTTTTCCTTTCTCCTTTTTCTTACAAGGGCTTTCCACTTTATAAAGTTTTTTCAAAATACAAGGTGATGAATTTGATGTTTTTTCCGTCTTGTAAGGAACTTCGACTTTATATGATTATGTATTAGGTGATTCGACCTTACGAGTCGGATCCAACGATTTGGTGGTCTCCACCTTATAAGGTATTTCCTTCCATGTTTTCACTTGATTACATGTACCACTTTCCCGAATACTATAATTGATGGTGAGACGTTGCTTTTAGTTAATCGAAATGAGCATATTTTATGCTCTGTAACTCACGGTTGATAGACTCCCGTTATTGAAATTTTGAACAATGTTAATTAATTGTCTTTTGTTAATTTAACAATATTAAATGATTTTAAACATAGATTCTATTTTTTTATTAAATTATACAATTTCATAACAAACTATTCTCATTTTATCCCTCTTTTTTCTTCTAATAGCATACGCCACACCCATTGCCTTTTCCCCCGCTTTTGCTACTCGAATAACCGCCATAGCCATAGTCGTAGCCATAGTAGCCAAAAGAGCCAAAAGAGCCAAGTAACCCAAGGAGGCCAGAGTAATAAGACCCATAATCATAATCATAATCTTTGCTACCTTTTCTCTTCATACTACAACGTGATTTTTTTCCCTTCTTCTTCTTTTTCTTCTTACAAGGACTTTCTACCTTATAAGTTTTTTCCAAAATACAAGGTGATTTTCCTTCAGTCGTTTGCATCTTACAAGGTGATGCCGTTGATGTTGTTACCGTCTTGTAAGGAACTTCGACTTTATAAGGTTGCTGAATATTATTATGATTATGTATTTCTACCTTATAAGGTGATTCGATTTTACGAGACGGATCCAACGTTTTGGTGGTCTCCACCTTATAAGGTGTTTCCATCTGTGTTTTCACTTGATTATGTATTTCCACCTTATAAGGTTTTTCCACAATACAAGTTGGTTTTCCATCAATTATTTGCATATTACATGGTGATGCCGTTGATATTGTTTCCGTCTTGTAAGGACCTTCGACTTTATAAGGTACCTGAATATGATTATTTATTTGTACCTTATAAGGTGGTTCGGCCTTAGGAGGCGGATCCCACGTATTGGTGGTCCCCACTTTATAAGGTATTTCGACCTTGTAAGGTGTTTCGACCTTATAAGGTATTTCGACCTTGTAAGGTGTTTCGACCTTATAAGGTATTTCGACCTTGTACGGTGTTTCGACCTTATAAGGTATTTCGACATTATAAGGTGTTTCCATATGTGTTTTCACTTGATTATGTATTTCCACCTTATAAGGATTTTCTAAAATACAAGGTATATTTCCTTGAGGTGTTTGCATCTTACAAGGTGATGCTGGTGGTATTATTTCCGTCTTGTAAGGTACTTCGACTTTATAAGGTACCTGAATATGATTTTGTATGTGTACCTTATAAGGTGATTCGGCCTTAGGAGATGGATCCCACGTATTTGTGTTCCTCACCTTATAAGGTATTTCTGTATTCATAGATTTCTCGATCTTATAAGGTATTTCAACATTATAAGGTGGTGTTTGCAACTCTGTTTTCACTTGATTATGTATGTCCACATTATAAGGTCTTTGGACGATGGTAGGAGTTTCCGTTTCTAAACTGAGACCTCCATTTTGTTGAATAATAGTTTGAGATCCGAATGGTACATGGTTATGTTTAGGATCATAACCATTGTAATGATAGTGATGATGCTGCTGAGGACTATTGCCATTAGATGGGCGTTGACAATTACAATCATCGAGAGGCACACTAGTACATGTATTAAATACCTAAGAATAACAACAAAATGAGATATTTTAGGTGAATCAAGTCATAAATTACTTACTAATACTATAAGGTAAATTAATATTTTTATAAAGTTACATAATTTCAACATGATTGTTACGTTTTATGAAATGAAATGGTGGATTTTAATTCAGGTTCTTAATTTATTAGAAAGGAAAATCGTAAAATTTTTATACTTTCCAATTATTGCTAAATTATGATTGATGTATGTATACACATAAAAATGATTGATTTTTATCCATGCATTCTAGGTTATATGAAATCCGTTCTTATTTTTCGCAAATATCTTAATACTGATTTTATATTGTAATGTTTTTTTATTAATTTAACGATTATTACTAATAATCACTTTACTTTTGAAAAATTTTACGAAGTAAAAAAAAACTTACTATTCGAGTCGCGATTTTCATTAAAGCCTGAACAAACACTTTCTATTAGAAAGTATCGTCAATAATTAGATCTATGAATTTAATATTGTAATATTGGCCACTTATGACCAGATCAGCTTTAAGTTTTCCTCAATCAATGCAATCTTGTTTTTAAACTATCTTATATAAAAAGTGTTGACGCAATCTGATTCTTCCTCAGTGCTCTAAATGTGATGGTCAAGAAATTCAGGTAAGTTTCCGTAATGGTCGCAATGGCTGTATCATACACTAGTCTATATTCTACAAATACATACTCAGATTAACCTCACCTTCTAGTGGAACACATGTTTTAACAAACGAGGCTTTGATGAACTGGGTAAGAGGCGGGTTAAGCGTGAGATGTGTGGTGAGTATTTTTCCAAATCTCCCTGGCCCACAGGAATCGTGACGCCATTATACAAATTAATTATCAACAAAGAAACGAAATTTTAGAGAAATGATGATAGTTTAATAAGGAAATTATTACAATAATAAATTTATTTTGCATAATAACAACGATGATCTCACGATTTAATTTGAAATTGCTTTACTATTCCATATTCCATAAGAAAAATAGATGATTGTACCTAAAATTTAATATATACAAAACAATATCATGCAAATCCTCATATTAAGTTATTATGTACTTACCAATACCCATCCAAACAAAATATCTTAACCAAGTTGAAATATCTAAAAGTACCATTAAATATATATTCATCATAATGCTTAAACCTGGCAACCAAGGTATTAAAGGAACCTAAAAAATAATAATATTAAAATAGATAATAAGTTTTGCGGTCAAGAAAAATACCCCAAATACTGGATCAATTCCTTTTGGTTGTTTTGAAATTATCCACAAAGATATAAATATTATTAAAGATAAAATAATTACAGCTATCACAAAAGGAGTTGAGAAATACTCATGATTTAATTTAGATAATATGACAGCCAGAATAAAAGTGGTAATCACTAAAAACTTTGTGTTATTATTCAAGTTTAAATTAAAATATTTTTTAAGCTAATACAAAATGTACACAACCCAAACGAAACTATACGAAAAGTTAATTTATTCGGCGTTTGAAAGCGTATTCCTAAAACTTGAGTACAAATTTGATAACACGATAATTTTCGTTTTGAATTAACATCATTATTTTCTAAAGTCGGCTCATAACGAAGAATAATAACACAAATAGCAACTACGGAATAAGAAACCAACGTAGCTATAGCCATTAACGTGAAAAGATCTCCTAATTCAAAAAGAGTAGCAAATAAACCTGCAAATTGAAGGGTGAAAAAATGTTAATTATTTAGAACGAAGAAACCTGTTATAAATCCAGCAATTAATGTTCCAGTGAAAGGTGTACGAAATTTTGGGTGAACTTCACCTAAAAATGAAAAAAGTAATCCATCGCAAGCCATGGAATAAATTATTCTTGGTAAAGGAAACATAGATCCAATTAAACTACAAGTAAAAAATTTGATTGATAATTTAATAAATTATCTTAATTAATTTTACGCTGAGAGTAATCCGCATATAGCTCCTATGCTTACAAGATACTTCGAAATTGTCCATCCTATTTTATCGTAAATATATGGTAATGGAGCAAAACGATCCTAAAAATCACAATTAACAAAACAGTTAAATAATAGAAAAGTTAATCTTTTTTTTTAAATATTAGTATTGTTAATGTAGTTTTTTAATATAGTATTGTTAATAGAAAAAGAAAACTGCAAGAGAAAGTCTGAAACTTTCACAAATGTTACGAAATTATTATCAATTAGAAAAGTTTTTTATTCCTACTTGTTCGTAATACGGAAGAATCATAGTTAAAATCGTTGATACACCAAAATAAGCCATAAAAATTATTAATAATGATACTATTATGGCAATTGGAATTGATTTTCGGGGGAATCTTGCTTCTTCGCCTAAAATTTGATAAAAAAGAATAAATAATTAGTCATAAAGTATTTTTTTAAACCAGCTGTGGCAATTGAGTCAAATCCAATGAATCCATAAAAACATGTTGGTGCTCCTTTTAAAACTCCCGATATCCCATATGGAAGAAACCCACCTACTCCGTATTTTACATCAGGGACTTTTTCTTGGGGAATTTCCCAATTATCAGAATTAACTAAAAAAACAAATCACAAGAACAGAAACTTAAATAAAGTATCGTTTAAGTTTTACGCACAGAATTTATAATTTCTGATGTATTTTTAAAATAAATGTCTATAAAAAAAATATGAAAAGTTGCGCAAAGGAACAAAGCAAAACTTTGTGTCAAGACGTATCTAGAAATCGCTGCTTTTGACAACCTTCTATATAGCTTTTTTGAACTCTGAGATAATTTCGAAATCATTTTCATAAACTTTGTTATCAACATTGTCTCAGAAAAATAAGAAAATTTCTAGTTTTGTGGTTTCAAAGTACCTCAAAAAAAACATATGCTCTCCAAAGTGGTTCATTTTTCTTATTACGTCGTTTACCGCACTCCTCACGTGTAGGTCACCTTGATTCTCTGTTATAATCGTACCTACTCTACCAATTCTAACGATTATAAAAATTGTATAGCAACTATCAGCAAAAACGTAGATCCATTCTTAATACTTGGACACTTCCTTAATAGACAAAACTTTGAAACCAAAAATCAATTTGCGGTTACAAATTAAATATGATTGAAATTTCCAAAATTATTAAACATTTACTCTTATTATTATTGTTACTCATTGGTTATATTATTAATTAAAATATATTAATAAGAAAACAAAAAAAGATACCTTTCCATAATCCTGAAATTATAACAAATAAAACGACGATTATATTTAAACCAGTAAATATGTTGTTTGCCATAAAAGATTCCTTGGCACCAAGAGCCAAAGATACTGAAAACAAAAATAACATTTTAAAACATTTCTTAATAAAAAAATTTAAGATACTTTACATGAAAATAAACATGTTATAGCAAAAGAAAATAAATCCGGATACTTAGAAAGTGATTGTAGATTAATAGGCATGTGATGTTCAAAAAAATTAGACATAACGTGATGAAATAAAGCGTCTAAATATGTAAATAAACCTTTTACAACACTTGCTGAACCTACAAAAATAAAACAAAATAAAGAAATCTTAAACCATCATTTTTTATGTAACCTATGATATATTCTAAAATTAAATTCCACCCAAGTAAAAATCCAATTAATTCCCCCATACAAACATAACTATATTCATAAACTGATCCAGCTCTGGGCATCCGAACTCCAACTTCAGCAAAACATAAACCTAAAAATATATTTTAAAATTTCAAAATAAATTTAAATAAATAAATATTACCTGCAAATATAGAAGCAATAGCTGCGATAAGAAATGAAATAACAACAGCTGGACCAGCGTATTTTTTAGCAACTTCCCCAGCTAAAACATAAACTCCAACACCTAAAGTACTTCCAACTCCCAACACTGTTAAATCAAAAGTACTAAGCATTTTTGATAGTTTTGTAGATTCTTGATTTGAATGGGATTTTTTACGAAAAATTACTCGTAGGAATTTATTAAAATTTTCTTTCATTTTATTTAATTCTTTTGAGAAATTGTATAAAGAACAAATGATTCTTGTCTAACGTTTCGACTAAAACTAAACGTTGAACTCGACCGGAATTTAGAGCAATTTAATCAATCGAATTGGATATTAAATTGACTGGCTTAAATTTGTGGTCGTCGCAGTTTAATTAATGGCTCAATGCCAAAATATCAAACTAAAAAATAAAATATAAATAAAAGATTTAAAATAATTTATTTTTTATTTTTGTATCACAACAAAGAAATTAATCATAATCTGGTAACATCAGCACCATTCTCTATTATAAGTTCTAAATTTGTGTTATTACTTTTTCGTTCTTTACTATGCCATATACCATATCCAAAATAAATTAAAAGCCCAATTCCTAACCAAGCTGCTATTCGAAGGAATGTTTGTAATTTAGGCATAGACATTAACAATATGTTAACAAAAATACTTGCAAACGGGATTAATGGAACAAACGGAACCTATAAAAAAAAATATTAGGTGATTTTTTAATGCAATAATTTAACTTACCTTAAATGAAAGATTAATATCTTGCTCTGGTTGACGAGCAACAACCACAACTGTTGATAATAATAAAATTATTAATAGTACGAAAATTGTTAAGAAATATGGTTGTTCCACTGATAAAAAAATTGGAAATTTTAAACCAACAGCAATTGCAATTGAAAGTAAACCTAAAAAGATATTATTAAATTCGAATTAAATAAAGAGTCTTTCTTTACGTACAAAAAATCATAATTGCCCAATTTTTAATGGAATTCGTCAATTTATTGGGATATTTATTTCCATTCAAATTAAAAGCAATTTTGAAAGCATAAAATCCAGCATGGAAAACTGATTCATTATGCTGAATACATACATTTTGTGATTTATCGTTGTTGATTGGTGTATATCTAAAGAAATGATTTTAAATTTGTTATTACTTATTTAGTTAATATCAACTTTAACATTATTATAAATTTATTTTATTCCAGATAGAATGTAGATAAATGATAACAATTTAAAAAGGGCTTCAATTTTGCAAAAAAAAGTCGGTAGTAATGGTTGGCTTGAAGGTTTAAAAAAAACTCTGCTGTGAGGCAGAGTTGTTAACAAAATGGCAAAACTCAGAGAAACTAAGAAAGCAACTTTCAAGCATGGTTACTGGTATTAGAAAATGAAATGAGTCTTCAAAAAATAAACATTATAGTTGTCGGTAATAATTGTTTAGCTCCTAACGACATTCCTAAGTTAAAGCTTGATACGTTTTCAGTTTAGCTAATTTTGTATCTTCCTGCAAATATAATAAGTAACTTATAACCACTTGATCATGGCTTTAAAGTAAATGTAAAAATGATTTCTAATTATTTCAAAAATGCCAGGTTGATGAAGAAATTGATATTGATGAGTTACATGAAGATCTTGAACAATGGAAACTATGGGATTTTATAAATTTTGACCACATGTTGATCTCACTAAAGTGTCTGAGGAGATCGAAGAGAGTGAAGACATTAAAAATACACTGGAAGTATCAGAATTTTAGAATCTATAAATAGCATCTACAAATTGCAATAAATGATTAGATAACAAGAAATGAAACAGTACCTTAACATTAAGACACAAATAGATACAATTGTGTAAGCAATCAATGTCCCTATAGATAGCATCTCAACTAACTGATTAATATCAAAAATTGTGGCCATAATTCCTGAAAATATTTCAATAATAATTTTTATATTTAACGCATTTTTTACTTACCAGCAAATAAACCAGTTGCAATAGTGGCAATAACGGGAGTTTTAGTTCTTTTGCTAATATACGATAACTGTTTAAATAACAATCCATCTTTAGCCATTGAATACAAGATACGAGGTAAAGTAAACAAATTACCAACTAAAGTTGATGTCATAGCTATAATAGCACCCACTGAAGATATCCATTTAATAGCGGGCCATTTAGCGTAATCAAATGCAGCAGGAAATGGAGCTTTTTCATCCTAAAAAATAATCATATAAAAATATTCGAAACTTACTCCTAATTTTTCTTTATTTACTTGTTCGTAATACGGGCACATTAACGTTAAAACGGTGGATACACCAAAATATGCCAAAAAGCTTATAAATAGACACAAAAGAATAGCAAGTGGGATCATTTTTTGTGGATTTTTAGCTTCATCTGCTGTCGTTGCGATAGCGTCAAATCCAACGAAAGCAAAGAAGCATTGAGCAGCACCAGTTAAAATTCCTTGAAAACCAAAAGGAGCAAAGCCTCCTTCCCCACCTGTTACATCTAGAGGAATATTTTCTTTTGAAATACTCCAAAAATCAAAATTAATAACAGCAGCTCCAAATCCAATAACAATTGAAACAACTATTAAAGTTAATACCGTTAAAATACTATTTAACATCGACGATTCTTTTGCCCCGTTAGACATAACAACTTAAAAAAAAATTGATGCTTAAATAATAATTAAGTAAAGAATTATTATTACCTATTAGAATAATCATCATGGCTAAAGAAAAAAAATCGGGATAACTCGATAAAAATTCAATATCAATAGGCATCGCATCACGAAACGCTGTACTAATAGTATTATTTGTTAAAGCATCTATGTAATCGCTTAATCCTCTTGCTAATCCAGCAGTTCCTATTACATACTCAAGAACTAAATTCCAACCGATTATAAAAGCTAGAAGTTCACCCACTGTAACGTAAGTATAAATGTAAGCCGAACCAGCTTTTGGAACTCTACATGCAAATTCGGCGTAACATAAACCTAAAAAAATGTATTAAAAATTTTATAAAATGCGTAGAACAAATTTATACCTGCTAAAGCCGAAGCCACAGCGGCAATGAGAAAAGATATACAAACAGCGGGTCCTGCGTGTAATTTAGCCACCGATCCAGCTAAGACGTAAGTTCCCAATCCTAAAGTAACACCAAGTCCGAGAAATGTTAGATCCCACAATCCCAAAACACGATTTAATTCACTTGTTTCTTCTAAATCTATTGGCTTTTTCCGGAATAATACCCTAATTATTTTGCTCATAATTTCTTTTTGCTAAAATGATTAATTTTATTTTGAATACGCTTGTAGTATTAAGATACCGTCTCTATGAATGGTATTCACCGAAAACTTTATTAGAATGAACGAAGTGTGAATAACACCACGATTTTTATAGTAAAAAATTTTTATTTTGCATAATTTAATTCACTTCTAATGTGAAATGACTTTTGTTGAAAAATGACCGTGAAAACATTTCTTGGAACATAGTCATTTTGTTTTGTATATTTAAAGATATTTAAAATATATCATTTTACCTTCAAAACTTTTCACAATTTCTTCTTATTCAATGTAAGATTAATAAGTTAAATTGCTTCATCAATTAATTTCACAATAATCAGGTAGTTTATTTTTTCATTGGATGGGGGTTTTTACAAAGTTGTTGTGAGGATTACAAGTTTCTGATTCGATAACTAGAATGAGTCAACTTGTGTAAAAAACATCGGTTATATCCTTAGTCCGGTATTCGTTAATCTACAATTCGTAGTCTAACAACTTAACGTAACTTTTTTTGGAATTATTCAATCTACATATATATTTGAAAGGACAGTGGCGGAGGTTTCGATAACTTATTAAACTTGTAATAAGCAAATATACTATTTATTTCCTTTTTTGTACTACAACGTTTAACGTTTATGACTTTTTCATAAACTTTTGAATAAACATTCACTTTATTCCTTTATCTTTGCTACAACGTTCCGAATTCCGTGCTCTACCAACAAGATGTAAACCCACGATTTCATCTAATCTTCACACTTTCAAACTTTTCTCGATATTTATGCATCGGAAAGCAAATATGTAAAAGAGCAATGTTGTGAAGAACAAAGTTTGCTACAACTTTTATACTAAAACTTTTTTTTTAAACGTTCCGAATCCGGTGCTCCACCAACAACAAGATGTAAAACCACGATTTCATCTAATTTTTACCTTTTCAAACTTTTCTTGATATTTATGCATCTGAGAGCAGAAGTGTAAAAGAGCAAGATTATTAAGAATAAAGTTTGCTACAACTTTTATACTAAAACTTTTTGACAAAAATGTACAGAATCGCGTGTTTAGTATAACTAAATTATTTTTTTCTTACTGTGGGTTAGATTTTCGAGCGTCCATACGTCCATACAAACAAGCTGAATAAAGTGTCATTCTGTGGATTGTGCAAGGTATTTTGTGATTCCCATAGAAGAAACTAAGGCGAATCGAATGACGTATAGATCTTGATAATTAAGTACATCATTTACGAGTTATAACCACCTAAAGAAGATAATTTTTGTGTTATTTTCGCAATATTTTGGTGTTTTAGTGGAATTGAAGCAGCATTTTGTATTGGGCATTTCCGCCAAGGATTAAGCTTTCCAATGATATATATATTCGTCAAAATCGGTTGTTATAATCAAAATACTATACATCTAAAATCCTGCCCGATTGGGGTTAGAAGAGTTAGGGCCAGTCTGAATTCTACTACTGCATTACTATTTAGATATTGTAGAACTGAAATCATCGAATCAAATCAGTTAACAGACTATGATATGTTTACTCGAAATTTAGATCAATTTAATCAATCAAATTGGATATTAAATTCACCTAGCCTATAAAATAAAATAAAAATATTAAAAATGCAAATTTAAAACTTAAATAAATTAATTTATTTTTCATTTTCGTATCACAACAAAAAAATTAATTATAATCTCGTAACATCAACACCGTTTGCAGTTGTAACTTGCTGATTCCTTTTAATACTTTCTCGTTCTTTACTGTGCCATATACCATATCCAAAATAAATTAAAAGACCAATTCCTAACCACGCGGCTATTCGAACGAATGTTTGAAGTTTAGACATAGACATTAATAGTATGTTAATGAAAATACTTGTAAATGGGATTAATGGAACTAAAGGAACCTTTAACAAAAAAATAGTTCGGTGATTTAAGCTTTAAAGAAACACTTTTTAAGTTACCTTAAATGAAAGTTCAATTTCTTGTTCTGGTTGACGAGCAACTACTACAACTGTTGCTAATAACAAAATTAATAATATAACGAAAATTGCTAAAAAGTGTGGATGACTTATTGATGTAAACATTGGAAATTTCATGCAAACACAAATTGCAATTGAAAGTAAACCTAAAAGAAGAATTATTAAATTATAATTAAACAAAGAATTATTTGTTACGTACAAAAAATTATAATGGACCAATTTTTAAAAGAATTTGTTAATTTATTGGGATATTTATTTCCATTTAAATTAAAAGCAATTTTAAAAGCGTGAAATCCGGCATGGAAAGCTGATTTATGTTCCATACATCCGTTTTGTGGTATTTCATTGTTGATCGGTGTATATCTAAAAATTCAAAAGAATTTATTATTACTATTATTTACTATATCTTGTATGATAGTCCCGATAGTCGAGAAGATGACGTTAAGATGAAGTCTTAAATTGCATAGAATAACTTTTTGAAAATGATGGCAGATAGAGTACTTTACTGAAGTATAATTAAGAAAAAAAGCTTATTGGTAACACAAATAGAAGATGTTGTATTGAAAGAATTCGATATTCCAACTCGATATTGGCTAATTGAACGTATTGAAAAACTGATATTGAATAGTGATTATATTCTTAGAATGCCATAAATAAAAATTAAATCAATCATATTTAAAAGAGCTATCAAACTGTGAAGTTTATTATAAATTGGTGAATAAATTATTGTGAACATGTACCGAGACACTATTATATACATTATTTATGTAATATTTTACGTCTTTGAGCATCTATTTCGTAGGTTCGGCTTATAGGTGATTATATTCTCATATTTTAGACAATGGGCTCAAAGAGTATGTTAAAGGATATGTTAAGAGAGAGTTTTGCACAACTAATGTCACAACGTTTTACGGCTTAAAAATAAAATTAATTTCGAAGTTGTTACTTTAAAAATTAACATACGAGATGTAAGATAACTCCATTTTAAAAAGAAATTTGTGATATTTATATTGAAAGCAAGTTAATAAAAATGCGTGGTGAAAGTGTTGTTTTCTATATAATGAAAAACATTGCAATTATATATGTAAATATAACGCTCGATTACCAACGGCTTCATGCAATAAAACGATTTCATAATATGTGAAATTTATGCATTCATGTGCACTTTTACACCTGTTTTTTCACTTATTTTATTTACGATAACAGGTTTATGCTGTCTTAAACTGTAATAAAGCTTGTGGTGAGCTAGGTCGGCCTCAGGCCTTGTTCTGTACGTTGTTAAACCTGATTCTAGAAAGGGTCATCGAACAACGTAATATCTGGCGTACGCGGGCGATGTGGACTTGTTACGCAGAGGACAAATGGAACTGGGAATTGATTCAGGAGATGGCACGGAAATCGACGACGAGAATAAGACAAACTGTATGGTCATGTGTAGAGGAAAGGCTGGAATACTCGTTTGAAAACGTGGCATCGTTTAAATATCTGGGATCCCTCTTAACAAATAACAATAAGAATGGGCTGGCTGAATATCGAGGAAAGAATCAAAGCTGGGAACAGAGCATACTTTATCCTCCAGCACAAATATTACATAAAAATACAATGAAGCATAATTATAGCACACTCTTCCTTACAATGATTATGTACGTCTGCGAGCCATGGTACTAACTAAGAAGGACGAACGACTACTGGACACGAAGGAGAGAAAATTTCTAAGGCGAATTTATGGCCCCATTCGGCATGGTGATTTTGGCAGATGGGCAAAAATGAAGTATACCAATAATATGATGAGCCACTCCTTACAACCGAAATAAGCAAGGTCATACTTTAAATGGCTTGACCATATGGAGACGATGTCGGAGGAGCATACACACAGAAACGCGAGTTTCGACGATTTCCCTGATGATCGCGCAGACGATGACTGGACGACATGAAAGCTGACCTGAGACTTGCAGGGAGGACTAGAGAGGCGTGGTAAGGAATGCCATAACTCTTTGGGGTAAACTGTAACAATATTACTTTGCACCTAGATACTACTGCAGTGTAGTAAGAAAGCCTATTTCATCCAGAAAGCGCATTTTGTACTATGCAGGTGTAATATCACCTTGTATTTATATACATAATAATATGAAGTAATTAGTTAATACATGTTACAAAGCCAAACACTAAGTTATTTTTAAAACAAATTCTAAATTTGCACATTTCACCTTTTCACCTAGTAAAACTGAGAAAACAAAGTCTGCATTATTCTATTTGAGTGAAATGATGAAGAAAAGATCTGCAAGTAGATGATGTTTAACCAAACCCAACCCAGGTTAGATGAAACTGGCTTACAAACAAAGCCGATGGTTATCCAATCTGCACTCTTAACACGTTCGCGGACGTGAATTCGTTGCATTCATTTTCATAATGATACAGAATGACATGAAACTTTTACTTTTACTTTTTCCGCGAACGTGTTAAGTTTCGGAGTTGATATTGTAGAATGTGTAAATTTACTATTAAATCGCCAATAAAAAAATGTAACTGTACCTTAGCATTAAGACACAAAGAGATACAATTGTATAAGCAATCAACGTTCCTATCGAAAGCATCTCAACTAATTGATTTATATCAAAAATAGTAGCCATAATTCCTAAAAGATTTTGATACAATAATTTTCATATTAAGCGTATTTTCTTATAATAATTTACTTACCAGCAAATAAACCAGTTGCAATAGTAGCTATGACGGGAGTTTTGGTTCTTTCGCTAATATACGATAATTGTTTGAACAACAATCCATCTTTAGCCATAGAATACAAAATACGAGGTAATGTAAATAAATTAGCAACTAAAGTTGATGCCATAGCTATAATAGCACCTACCGAAGCTACCCATTTAATACTGGGCCACTTAGCGTAATCAAAGGCAGCAGGAAATGGAGCTTTATCATCCTAAAAAATAATCACATAAAAATATTCAAAACTTACACCTAATTTTTCTTTATTTACTTGTTCGTAATAAGGGCACATTAACGTTAAAACGGTGGATACACCAAAATATGCCAAAAAACTTATAAATAGGCACAAAATAATAGCAAGTGGGATCATTCTTTGTGGATTTCTAGCTTCATCTGCTGTCGTTGCAACAGCGTCGAATCCAACGAAAGCAAAGAAACATTGAGCAGCACCAGTTAAAATTCCTTGTAGACCGAAAGGAGCAAAGCCTCCTTCCCCACCTCTTACATCTGGAGGAATATCTTCTTTTGAAATACTCCAAAAATCAAAATTAATAACAGCAGCTCCAAATCCAACAACAATTAATACAACTATTATATTTAACACTGTTAAAATACTATTTAACATCGACGATTCTTTTGCCCCGTTAGACATAACAACTTAAAAAAAAAATTGATACTTAAATAATAATTAAGTAAAGAATTATTATTACCTATTAGAATAATCATCATGGCTAAAGAAAAAAAATCGGGATAACTCGATAAAAATTCAACATCAATAGGCATCGCATCACGAAACGCTGTACTAATAGTATTATTTGTTAAAGCATCTATGTAGTCGCTTAATCCTCTTGCTAATCCAGCAGTTCCGATTACATACTCAAGAACTAAATTCCAACCGATTATATACGCTATAAATTCCCCCATTGTAACATAACTATAAATGTAAGCTGAACCTGCTTTTGGAACTCTACACGCAAATTCGGCATAACACAAACCTACAAATAAAAAATAAGAAAAGTTTCTTTTGGAAAATGTAGCATAGGTATAAAATTACCTGCTAAAGCCGAAGCAACAGCCGCAATGAAAAAAGAAATACAAACAGCGGGTCCTGCGTGTATTTTAGCCACCGATCCGGCTAAGACGTAAGTTCCCAGTCCTAAAGTAACTCCAAGTCCAAGAAATGTTAAATCCCATAGTCCCAAAACCCGTTTTAACTCACTTTTTTCTTTTAAATCAATTGGTTTTTTTCGAAATAATGCTTTAATTATTTTGTTCATATTTTTTTTACTGGAAAGATTAATTTTAATTATAATCAAAATTTACTAAAACGTAGTTATTTAAAAACAGGTAACACAGAATATGTTAAAACTTTCCGACTGTAAATAACCTAATTTAATGTTGCATCATTGATACTTAAAACACTGGTAATATTAAGAAACTCTCTCTCTACGTACGACTCACAACGAAATGTTTATAAAAATAAACAAAGTGTGAATGTCGTCACGATTCTTATAGTAAAACGTTTTTTTACGGTGTGTCATTTCCAATTCATTTCTAATTATAAACTTTGTAAATCCGTTTTTAAATTATATGCGTAAACGTGCGATGAAAAGTGACCGTGAAATTTAATCGATTCTTGGAAAAGACTCATTTTTGTTTTGTATATTTAAATATATTTAAAATATTTCAACTTACCTCCGTTATTTAAATCCTTCGTTTTCTTTATTTTTTTTATAAAGAAGATTCAAAAATTAGCACAGTATCAATCTCACCACGAGCATAACCGCTTTAAGCCGGTGCCGAACGACTTTCTACTCGCATCACGAACAGGTAGTTTATATTTTCGTTCTTGAGGTGATGGTAAAATTCGTATTGGCACCGATGGACTTCGATGTATGGTGGGAAAGAAATTTTTAAAACGTTGTGGGGATTACCAGTTTCCGTTTCAAAAACCATTATGAGTCAATTTATCCCAAACAAAATCATTATAGACGTTTTTAATCTCGATCAGATAAATTTTCATGTTGTCTAGATTGTTAACTACTTAAGTTTATTTGATGCTGATATTTATAAAAAAATTAATTGCCAATTTAAATCAATTTTATTTAATCTAATTTTATACCAGGAATGAAATCTCAAGTACTTAAAATAGCGAATGATGTTATTTTTTTAAAAATTGTGTAAATTATATAAATAACAAAATTAATTAATTTGATTTAGTTAATTTCTTACAATTTTTTGCTTATGTAAAAATATGTAGAGCGCTTGAAATGTCGGTATTTCATGGTTATTTTTTATTCTAAGGAAACATGTTATTCCAGTTTTTCAATTTCAAGTTCAGCATCATTTCAGTTCTGCTAAAGGTGTAAATAAAATATCTTACAGAATATTAATGCGTTCTAGAAATGCGCGAGAGCTTTCGAAAGTTGTGACCATGATTCAACGTTGAACGAAACGGTAATAATATCTATAGTAAAATTCACGAATCTAATTGCCCGAGATTAACTTAAATAGGTTAGGTTGTACCTAAATGTTTGATATATTCGGTCAGGTTATAAACGTAAATATCAGTTCAGGTAATATATCTAAAGCGATTTGCACAACTTTTCACGTTCTTTAAACGATTTGTCTCAATAACACGATCAGCGGTATCAATGTGTACCATCATTGATAAGGTACATCCCAGGAGTTATTGGAGTTGTATATCCCATTACCAAGAATGTATTCATTCTCCTGAAAAAAAGCTACATCATCTGTAGAATTGGGTGATTTCTATACAACGTTATTGTAGGAATAAAAAGAATCTTCGTTGATGTTAATCGTTCTCTCAATGTTAGATTACAAGTTGCTATCGGTCTCTCTGGAAACTGTTAGTATCGAGATACTTTAAGAACACCTTGCCAATAACATTTGCCTTTACTCGGTTAATAGCTCAAGTTTCCATGCACTTTTCAGTTTTATATAACCCCGTTAACTCTGGATAAGCTGAATTTTGGGAGTTTTAGTTGGCAGTCCATAGCATTGATCATCATCTTAAAAATCAACTACAAATATTAGAAACATGTCAGGTCTCCATGTATTCCTATAGCGAGTAATACGCCTCATTTATTAAAAAAACCTTAACCTCCTTTTTAAAACTTTCATATTTAGTTGCTTCTTTAATGCGGGTAGGAATGCTTGAAAATAAATAATTTATTATTTCTCGTTTCATACTCATGACCAGGAAGCGAAAAGCGGTGTAGGTGACTACGCACAAAACATCGCTTTAAAAATGAAAATACTAAGAAAAATTAAAATCTCCCCTGTACGAAAATAGGATTGACAAGACTTCATTGGTTAGCGACCGTATATGGCCCAAATGAGACTGTTATATGCCAAAATTGAGAGAGCAAGGGCATAATATGCACTCAAGACACCACTGATATCCAAAGAGCCTTTTAACTTTAGAAGTGCAAGATATGCAGAATTTAACTTTTTCGAAACGTAGTCAATATGGTCGTTAAAGTCTTATTATCAATTGTTGTACCCAAAAATTTGGCAGTGGTTTCCAATTTAATATCACTAAATTTAAATCAAAAGCTCTACGCTGCTGAAATCGAACACAAATTGTTTTGTTTAAATTCATGATTAATCGATTGCTGTCACACCACTTTACAAAAGCATTAACCGTATCCGTAGATAATATCTAAACTGATTCCGGAGTATCCGCGTCCACTGCAATGGTATCATCAGCATACATTACAATATGCACATCATTCAACGAAAAAGACAAATCATTAATGAAAAGTAGAAAAATCCTAATATGGACCTTTGGGGAATACCCAACTCAACAGATTCCCAGTTTGAAGCGGTATTAGACAAACCACCCGCATTCTACGTCCTATGAGAAATGAGTATATGGTTATTAACGATTAAATTAAATTTATTCAGATAAGTTAAAGGACATCTTCAATAACTAATTCAAAAATCTTAGAAAAGACACTATTTATAGATATAGACCAATAGTTGCTAATATCAGTGCCCCTTCTTATGAACTGCAATGACTTTACTATTTTTAAGACAAGTAGGAAATATTCCATTGAGAACGCTAAAATTAAAAATTTCTGACAAAGGGCTCGTAATCTCATAAGGCATATATAATTGCAATAACACAATTGCAAAAATTGTAATAACACCTGTTAAAAACAACTGTAATATACACTATATTTACTATTAATATAGAGTTAATATATTATTCACTTAATAGAGTAGTTTTTACTGTTCTCTAAAGGGTGTCATTAATTAAGTTTCTTTGTTACTCATGTTAGTGAAGTTATGTAATATATAAAACATTAAATTTTACACTACGACATGTACTTTAACTTTGAAATACTTTGTAGGCATCGCACAATTTTGTTCGGGATTCTTCGTCGGTACCACGTGATCAGCATGTGAACTTCCGGAAGATTTTACGTACGAGTTCCTTGTGAAGATTGTTAAGTATGTGCAACTATGCAACTATAGATGCAGTTTTCATGGTAAATCAGTGGAAACTTTCAAATGGATTACGTATATACAGGATGTTCAGATATTGGCGGATAATCTACACGTAGCGACATTCTTCGTTCGATTCTAAAGCGAAAATCTTAATTGTAAAATGTTGTACCATGCTTCTTCATGAGGTTCTCAACGGTTAGATAATTAGTCCATAAATAATCATTAATATTCAATATCTGTTGATAAATAAGCTGTAATTTAGAATAAAAAGAATTTTGAAAACTAGTTTTTTTGTTAAAGTTATTTTCTTTAGCTTTAAAGTTGGTTTTTAACATTTTTAACATTTCTTTGAAGATATGATAATGAATCATATCTTCATGAAAAACACATTTGGCAACATAGTAGAACAACATTTTAACATTAAGATTTTCGATTCAGAGTCGGCCGTAGAATGTCGCTACGTGTAGATTATCCGCCAATTTATGAACAACCTGTATAATAGTTTATTTATAGTACAAGTAAAAATAAAAACAAATATTTTATAATTTTGATTTTTATTACAAACGTAAAACTTCCCTAAAAATACTCCACTTCCTATTAAAAATTAACAGTAATAAGTGAAAGATACACACTATTGACTGACATTTCGTCAATTAATAGAGTAAATTCAGAGCGAATCTTGTATAATTTAAAGTGCTAATTTGACACGGATTAGATTAGAAATGTATCTAATTAGAGTCACGACAACATCTAATTAGATTACATATAATATACTGTTATAGTGTAACGATTTTACACTATTTAATGAACTCACTATTCAGTGTAAAATTTTAATCCATTCACCTGCACTATATGTAGATATATTGAGCCGATCTGGAACATGATTATAGTTGTTTTAGAGCTGATTTTTACTCTGTATTTTTTTGTGTACACCGCCTTCACAGCTCTTACAGATACCTCATTATGGGCAACGCTACCAGTATTTTTTTCTCATAATAACAAGTAGCACCTCAGACTTCGAAATTGAACAAAAAAAGAAGGATGACAAAACTCGGGGTCCTAGAGTCGATTCCCCCATCTCAGAGTCGAATCTTCTTTGAACTATATGCTTGGATTCATTCGCAAACAAACCACAAAAGTCATTTACAACTTGATTAGTACCGTTTACCATAATATCAAATTCCACAATTCTTTAAAACTATTGTTCGAGTTAGCCACCCTATTTTTTACATACTCTTATTTAGTTTGCTAACAAGTTATTTGTAGTTCTTCTTTTCACACACCTTACACATACCTTGTTATACCCACTTCACATACCTTTCCATTATTACTGGAGATGGAGTTACGTGAGCAAGCCCAAAAGTATTGTTTAATTCATTTCTGCTCTGCTTAATTTTTGGCGTGACCCAGCCCTTACAGGCCATACCACACACTGAAGCCCTGACATACTTATACGCACAGCGCAAATTATAATACAGTAAAAACTTATCAATGAACATTTGAAAATTATTGTCTACACACACACGATTAAGAGCACATGACCAGTTTATCCCAACAAGATCAGTTCTCAAATCATTCAAAGCACGGTAGGAAAGGATACGACTTTGAAGTAACTTAATTGATTTGTTTTCGTGCTCATACACTGAACTGAATATAACCGCGAGATGATCCGCAATATGAGCATTAAACAAAGTTGCATTCATTTGTTACATATTGTTATTAAATTAAACTAATAAAGGAAATTTGCAATTGGTGAATGTCCAAAGAATGAGTACAGCGTTGCAACAGGAGATTGACTGACATGTTCCAAT